GCCATCAAGGGACACAGGGGGAGTAGGAGGATCAACGACGAGGTGCCTGATAGGGAGGAAATGGACGACTATCGTTTCCAGGCCGTTGTGTTCGTCGTCGTTGTCGCCGTCGTCCTGGAGCCGTTCTTTTGTTTGAGCTGTCCTTTGTACCTGTGCTGCTGGGGCCGTAGCGTCAGGAGGGTAAGGGGGAATTGAGCGGTTGGGAGGGACTGCGAGCCATAGGGTTGCGCCGCGTCAAATTATGCTGTAGGCTGCGCCGCAGGTTGCGCCATGTATTGCCCCCTTGGGTTGCGCTTTGGCTTGCGACATGGGAAGTTGCGACCTCGGCCGCCGAAACGAAAAACCTGCCTGTCATTGTTGCGCTATGGATTGCGCCGTTGGCCGTCGAACCCTAAGGCTGTCTGCTATCGGTTTCGATATTGGCTGCGCCCTCAACCACCTTTGCCTTGAATGGCGGCTTTTGGATCCAGCATCGACTGCACCCTCGGCCGCGGAAACTTAAACATATCTGGTATCGGTTGCGCAATCGTTCGCGCACTCGGCCGACGATCATCAACCGACGGTTGATAGGTACGACCATTTCGGTCCAGTTCGCCAATCGGCCAGCCACGCTACCTCCCGAAAACAAACTCGGGCTGTGCCCAACCAACCTGTGGATCCGAAAGCCAAGAGGAAACAACACGAGAGCGTCCTAACACCTAGGGAAGCGGACAACCCCAAAAGCAAGCGCACTTTTCGTCAGCGGCGAGGCGGCGAACTCCGCTCCAGCGAGAAGCTAGATAGGGACACTAACTAGCGAATTGGCCGGCGAGCAAAGAGGGGGGGGGGACGGCCGAGAGGAAGAAGGGACGCTCAGACGTCGAAGAGTTCGACGATGGGCCGCCGTGAGGGCAGCAGCAGCCACGCGCGCAGGGCCAGGCAAGCACGCACACACACAAACACACATCATATAATAGCAGACCTCCGAAAACGCTTCAGAACAGTATCCGAACGACTTCCGAAGATGCCCACAATCGAAGCGTCTGACGTCGGGCGTCGCGAGCTAATTACGGCTGGAACTCAAGCCCCATCTCTTGAGCAGAGACCGACCGTCCCGGCATTCCTATAGGCCTGCCATGAAATCTTCTGAGAACCTCAGAATGTTCTCAGAACAAAAGCGATGTTCTTAGAGCATAAGCCCGATGTGTTAAAACAAGACAGACTCAGCCAGACATGTTCTCAGAACATTTTCCGTGCAGACCACAACATGTTCTTGGAACACTCTTTGGTAGGCCTACGGGCGAGCTAGGACGCTTCGCCACTGCTGGAACCTTCTACCCCGCCCTACAAATTCCGAGCCCGATCAGCTCCTGAGGGCCCTCATGCCCAGAAGCGGGGCGACCACGTGCCCCGCGGCTTCCCTGCCACGGCGCCCAGACGGGGGGGGGACCTCCTCCGCTCTCCCCCCCGGCAGGTCTCTGGGGGGGGGGCCTCCTCCCCGCGCCCTGGGCAGGAGGAGGAGGAGGTGGAGGAGGAGGAGGAGGAGGAGGAGGACGAGGACGAGGACGGGAGGAGAGGAGGAGGAGGAGGAGGAGGAGGAGGAGGAGGGGGAGGAAGCCGGCCGCTCGGGACGGCTCGGGCGCCCCCGAGCCCCCGGCGAGGCGCCGCGGCCGGCACACGCCGCGCGGCGGCGAGGAGAGCCTCCGAGGAGCCCACCGGCACCTCAGCCAAAGCGGCCCCTCGGAGGCCTCCCACGCCGAGGGGCCACGGGGGAGGGGCAGGGGGGAATCCTTTTCTGATGAGGGCGGCAGTGCTGGGAGGAGGAGGAGGAGGAGGATGAGGAGGAGGAGGAGGCGGAGGCGGAGGAGGCGGAGGCGGAGGAGGAGGAGGAGGCGGAGGAGGAGGAGGAGGAGGAGGAGGAGGAGGCAGAGGTGGGGGAGGAGGGGCAGCGGCGCCCTCGCCCCCGCCCACGCATCCCCACGCCCTGGGCCTCTCCCGGAGCGCGCGCCGGCCAGGATCTCGAGGCGAGACGGGCCGCGGCGACGCGGGCCCGCTCCTCCCCTGCGATGCCCCGCCCCCCCCCACTTTACCTGCCTCGTGTTCGTCGTCCTCCTCCTCCGCCTCCGCCTCCTCGTCCTCCTCCAGAAAACGCTAAAACCATTAAACTACCCAACGCCTCCCGTGGAACTCCGACGTCACGACACTCTCGCGACGCGGGCCCCTGGGCTCTCGACACCCTCCCCCGGGCCCACGGGATTTCCTTTCCCATCCCTGGGTCGTCTCTTGATGGCCCCCCCCCCCCGGGCCAGAAACGGGCTTCCGGAGGCCGGAAACGTGGGAGAGCTCCCCATCGCTATTTTTCCCCGAGTCTGGGCTCTCCTCATCCTTATCCTCATCCTTATCCTTATCCTTATCCTTATCCTGATCCTGATCCTGATCCTGATCCTGATCCTTCTCCTCCTCCTCCTCCTCCCGCGCCTCCTTACAGAACTGCCGCCCTCCCGCCGCGAGTGGAGGAAACAGGGAGGGAGCAGGCGCCTCCTTGATGAGGCCGCCCTCCCGCAGCAGGTCCGTCCTCTGGCTGCTGGCGATCATGCGGCCGGTGGTTGCGTCCAGCGGCGGGCGGGCGATGGCCCTGTCCCAGCGGTCTGACCGGACCTCTGGCGAGGCGCAGGCGACGCCGACGGCGAGCGACGCCGACGAACGACGACGACGGCAGCGAGCGAGGACGCAAACGATGACGAGGGTGACAAAGTAAGCGGGCGACTGGCCGAAGCGGGGATGACGACAAGAGTGGCGGGGGCCACGAGGACGACCACGACGACGGAGGAGGCGGCGAAGGTCGCCGAAGAAGGACGACGACGATGACGACAACGACGACAATGACGACGACGACGACGACGGACGAAGGCGACGACGAGAGGGCGACATGCTGGCCGCCGCAACGACGACGAACAGCAATGGCGGCGGGAAATTAGGTACATGTGCAATTTCCTGAGAACGAAGAGGATGGGGAGGATGATGATGATACGGAGGAGAGGGAGGAGGATGAGGAGGAAGTGGAGAATGAAGACGATCAGGAAAGGACATGGAGGCAGGACGAGGGGCAGAAGGTCACCCACGGAGATGCTAGCCAACGGGGGATCTCGTTTCTTTCTCCTGCAAGTGCGTAAACGTGAGGACGAGACAGAGGCGGAAGTGAGGGGGGAGGGACGATGGGGAAAGAAGGTAGCAGCAGGGAGGAGAGGGAGGAGAGATCGGATGAGGAGGATGAGAGAATAAGGAGGTGGAGGATAGCGGCGCAAGGAGAATGATGAGGCGGATCTGCAGGACGATTCTGAAAAGGAATACGGGGGAAGGGAGAGCGGGAGGCAGGGAGAAACGAGGGAGTAGGACGATGATGAGAAATGAGGAAGAAGGGAAGAGGGGAGGAAGGATGAGGGATCAGATGAGAGAAGGACGAGATGATGAGAGGAGGCAGGAGCAGCCTTGAGAAGAAGGAGGCCGAGCACAAGGAGAAATTATGATTGAGGAGGAGTAAGGAACAGAAGGGAGGGAGATTGAATAGGAAGCGCTCCCACCGCCTTACCAGCATCCAGCACTCCACCCCGCAGGCCCTTCCGCCCGCTTGCAGGCCCTCCACTCCGCAGGCCCTCCACCCCGCAGGCCCTCCACACCGCGGGCCCTCCACCCCGCAGGCCCTTCGCGAAGGCCCGCCGCGCGCAGGCCTTCGCGAACTCGCGGTGCCAAGCCTCCCGCCGCTTGCTCAGGGCAGCGGTGCCCGCGACCCGCGCGAGGGCGATCAGCCACCTGGCGAAATGGCGACGACGACCTTTCCCCCTCCTCTTCTGCCGCTTCTCCCTCCTCCTCCTCTTCTTCCTCCTCCTCCTCATCATCTCCCTCCTCCTCCTCCTCCTCCTCCTCCTCCTCCTCCTCCTCCTCCTCCCCTCCTCATCCTCCTCTTTTCCGTTAAGTAAGCCTTAGGCGGAAGCCTGTGGCGTTCTTTCCTCTCCTCTCCTCCTCCTCCGCTCCTCTCCTCCTCCCTCCTCCTGTTATGCGTTAAGCAAGCCTTAGGTGAAAACCTGTGGCGTTCCTCCTCCTCCTCCTCCTCCTCTCCTCCTCCTCCTCCTCTCCTCCTCCTCCTCCTCCTCCTCATCCCTCCCTCCTCCTCCTCCTCCTCCTCCTCCTCCTCCTCCTCCTCCTCCTCCTCCTCCTCCTCCCTCTTTGCCAAGACGAGATCGGTGCCATGGCGCGGCCCGCCATCATAACTTCTTGCTCCCCCGGCTTGCACCTCCCACCCCTCCCCGCGGGGACGAGGGCCCTGCGACCCAGACCGCCGAGCGGGCTCGCCCCTCGTGCCTCCGCGGGAAGCCCTGGCAGCGCCCGCCCTCCAGCTACCGCACCTCGGAGAAGCACCCAAGGAGACTCCCGCAGCACCCCCCGAGACCCGCCAGATCCCCCAGAGCCTCCTCGGGAGTTCCTCCTCTCCTCCTCCTCCTCCTCCTCCTCCTCCTCCTCCTCCTCCTCCTCCTCCTCCTCCTGCCCCCCGACCTCTCGACCCCCTGCCCTGGGACGTTTTTGTTCCTCCCGGACTGCTCTCGGGACGGCCCGGGACCCGAGACGGGCTTCCAGAAGACCCCGAACATCCGAGGAGATGCCAGCCGTGAAGATCTCCCCGCCACCCCGAACATCCGAGGAGATCCATTTACACAGCACCCACACTCGAGAGCCAGGCTTGAATATATGTTAACTCGGAGCGTGCCTATACCATTAAATCTTGATTTTAGAGTGCTGGGGGCAGGCGGGGGTAGAGCGACAACCCTAATCAAAAGAGGCCCCACAGAATATCCGACGCAGCAGCGGGAGAGACACCCCCACAGGACAGCGAGCGGCTCGAGAGGAGGGGGCACCCTCCGAAAGTATCTGTTCGCAGCGGCGGGGCCCCGTGTGAGGCCCGAAACATAAAAGGCCGAGAGGTACCTGACCGTGCCTCGGCCCACGGTCGGGCCAAAAAGCCTCGCGGCGAAACCCCCGAGCTCATACAAGCCCAAGGGTGGGCAGGGTTGGGAGCCGAAACTTTGCGCCAGGAGAGGAGGGTCAAGCACGAGAGAGAATGCGCTAGTCCTCCTCTTAATTTGCAGTTGAGGCGGCTATCTGAACGTTTACAGGGGGTGTGTAAAAGTGTGTTTAAAAACGCGTATTTACACAGCACCCACACTCGAGAGCCAGGCTTGAATATATGTTAACTCGGAGCGTGCCTATACCATTAAATCTTGATTTTAGAGTGCTGGGGGCAGGCGGGGGTAGAGCGACAACCCTAATCAAAAGAGGCCCCACAGAATATCCGACGCAGCAGCGGGAGAGACACCCCCACAGGACAGCGAGCGGCTCGAGAGGAGGGGGCACCCTCCGAAAGTATCTGTTCGCAGCGGCGGGGCCCCGTGTGAGGCCCGAAACATAAAAGGCCGAGAGGTGCCTGACCGTGCCTCGGCCCACGGTCGGGCCAAAAAGCCTCGCGGCGAAACCCCCAGTCCCGTCATCACTAGACTGGCACTTGTGCCTTCACGCTTCCAGCCACAGCTAGACACGAGCGCGGCACACATTCGGGAGGGGGGGAAAGGGAGATAATTTGTGTCGCTCTCACCCACCAAAAAACCTGCTTTATATTTTCCCCATATCTATCAAATGTTCAAGGAAGACAAGTGGAGGACAGGGTGCACGCGCCCAAATCTCGAGGCTCCTGCATTCATATCAAAAGATATGGCCCCCGCAAAAGGCGGGGCCTGAAATGAGGGTGGGGGCTGCAGCAGCCTGCTCATTGCCGTCTGGCCCTGCTACGGCCAGCAGTGGACGGGCGGCTGGTGGGCTCCGCGCCCCCGTCCGCCATGCTCTCCAGCTGCGGCAGCACGACCTCGTCGTTCTTGGCTGCCCCGAGCTCGTGCACCATGTCCCGCGCCAGCGGGGCCAGCACAGCGTCGGAGCGGTAGATGGCCTCCGAGATCTGCTGGGCCGGCCTGCGCCAGAAGGCCCTCCCCCGCTCAAGCTGCGCGGGGGTGAGCCGGCTCCGCTGCTCGATCAGCACGTGCACTTTCGTGTAGCGCTGAAGGGCCGACGTGGTCTGCCAGCGGCCCTTCCGGCGCGCCGCCTCCAGCGAGCCGCCTGCGGCGATGTAGGCCGCCGCCCCCGCGTGCCTCAGCGAGTGCGGGGGCCCGAAGTCCGCCAGGCCCGCCCTGTCGAAGGCCAGCCTCCACGCCTTCCTGTACTTGTCCTGCGAGATCGGGAAGAGGAGGTCCCGTGGCGCCGCGCCCTTGCCAATCGCCCGTAGGATGGCCTTCGTCACCTGCCACGAGACCACGACGCCCTGGTTCGCTCCCGTCTTCACCTTCTCGCCCCGCTCTCTGCGGCCCAAGGTGAGCCCGACCTCCCCGTCGGGCCCCGCCGCCACGTCCGTCTTCCTGAGGAGGCCCCAGTCCTGCTCCCTCAGCCAGCCGTCCAGCTGCAGCAGCACCGCGGCCCCCTCGTACAGCTGGCCGTGCTCGAAGAGGTCGTAGAGCACGCACCCCGCAGCTTCGAACGGCACCGGCGCCCCCTCCTTCTGGAAGCCCATCCTAGACCAGGACTTCAGCGCCCTGGCCGCGACGGGGAGCCGATTGCGGTGATCCTCGAAGATGTGCATGAAACCATTGAACAACGCAGACGCCCTGCCGAAGGGCAACTGCATCACGTAGCACATGTCCGATATGTACCCGCCAAGCGCCGCATCCCTTTCCTCGTAAGTGGAGAAGGGGAGCCCGTGCCGCTTCACGTCCAGGAGAAAGGTCCTCACTTCCTTCTCGTAGATCTGATTCGTGGCGTCGTCCACGGCGTGCACCACGAGCCTCACATTGTGGTGCAGCTTGTCACTCGGGGCCTGCCCCCAGGCCCGAGCGCCCCTCTTAGCCAGAGGGGGGGGGCTTTGCAGAGGTCGTAGCGGGGCCGTCCACCCCACGCCGCGGCATCGCTTCGCACAGCGTCAGCCCGCTCATGGCCATCACAAATGCGAAGCTCCAGGCGGTCCTCGTCGGGCCCGATCTTGCAGCCGCTGAAGTAGCTCCTTCGGCACCCCACGGCCCACGTGGCCCGCCACTGTGTCCTCCGCCGCGCCTATGCCTTGACCTCTCGAGGGGCCGTCTGCCAGGTTGAGCTCGCTCGGCACCCACCTGAAGTACCCGCGGATCCTGCAGACCATCTGGATGATGCCGCCGATCCTCGCCAGGTGCAAGAGGTCCTTGGCAGACGAGCGCCCCTTCTTGAGGACGCCTAGGCTCACCAACGAGTCGGTGAAGAACAGCACGCGGTGATTCAAGCTCTGGGACGTGCGACTGAGGTGTCGGAGCACCGCCACCACCGTACGCAACTCCAAGACATTGTTGTGCTCTGCGTGAGACCAACGCCCCTGAAACAGCACGTGCCACTTCTTCTCCAGCCAATGGCCCAGCAGAGGCAGGGCCGGCCCAGTCGCCCGCACGACGCGCCCGCGGTCGCCCTGCAGGCGAAGCCGGGCCCCCGCTGGCATCGAGTCCCAGTGCGGCTCGAGCTCCTGCAGAGTGGACGCGTATGCCCTGCACAACTCCAGCGGGTAAGCACATGCCACCTGAGTCCACCGTAGCCCACCTGGTGATCGTCCTCGTAGTTCTCGGTGAGCTCGGCCCGTCCGACTGCATCGGCTCGAGGGGCACAAGCACACCCGCTGTAGCGTCGCCATCTTCTTCACGTTGGTGATGAACGTAGTTGGCTTCCTCCATTCTTCGCCATACATGCAGTAATCCACCTCCACACGGAAAACCCCCTCGAGATCCAAGAGCGCGGTCATTGGCGCGAACGCCCATATCATGCTGGTCCTGGGGTTCTCGAGGGTGAATCCAATGCCAAGGCGTAGGCAGATCTTGACCACCTCTACTGCTATCAAAGCCAAAGCGTTCCCTTCGTCTATCTTGGCCTGGTCCGTCTCCGTGCAGTCCGGCAGCCCCCACGGGTGATCGCTCGACCTCAGCGGCGGCTGCCTTGCTCTCGAAAACGTCGCGCACGGGGGGGCAACATGCACCCACCAGAACCAGCCAGTCCTCACTCTCCGTAACAACAGCTCCAAGTTCTCTGTGACCAGTACGTCGAACTCCACGCCCCGCTGGATGTCCCAGGCCTCGCCCCACGAGTCGGTCATCTCCCTGATCGCCTCCAGCAAGCGAGAGCTCCCAGCGAAGAGCTCCAACACCCCAGGTCGCCCCGTAGTGGGAGCGGCCGGGAGGTCCTCCTCCTCGCCGATCGCCTCCTGCGCCCGCTCGATCTCGGTGTAGCTCTGCTCGGCCAGGGGTCCCCAAGCTCCCCCATCTCCACGGGCAGCTTCTCGTCGGACGTCCTCCTCCGCGCAGTCGCAGGCCAGGGCGCCGAAGCCCTCGTTGGACGCATCCGTCATGTATGCTCTCGGCCACCAGCCCATCTCCAGGTTCGACTCCATGTAGACCGAGAGGGACGCGACGGCCCTCAACTCGCTCCTGACCTCCTCGGGCAAGCGGTGCGGCACAACACTCTCCTCCTCGGTGAACTCCCTCAGCCACCTGTAGGTCGCGCCCAGGATCGCAAACGAGGGGCGGAAGACCATCATGGTCCAGGTCCAGTGCCCGACCAGAGAAGCCACCGCCGAAGGTCTGAGAGCCACTTCCAACACCGCCGCCTCGGTAGCCAGCACGACCTGCGCCATCTTCTTCGGCTGGATCCTCAGCGTGTAGGGCCTCGTGGCGGCGATGCACAGGCCCAGGCCGTTCTCCATCCCTTCTCCCCAGGCCTCCTTGTGCACCGCGAGCCCCTTGCCGTTCAGAAGCTCCTTGATCATCTCCTTGTCTTCCAGGATCTTCAGCTCGCCGTCCTCGCCCTCGAGGGTGAAGCCGATGTAGTCGTCGATGTACAACATCAGCAGGAACCTGATCGCCTCCTCCTCCGATAGGCCAAACGACGGGGTGGGCTTGCCGTAAGTCAAGCTGGGGGCCTTCAGGGACTCGAAGCTTGCCTCCAGGCAGCTGTGGGCCAAGAACACTGCCCACGCCGAGCCCATGACCAAACTCGAAGCCCCAATACCAACGTCCTCCTCGCGCGGCTTCGGCAAAGCCACACCCTGCGCCATCCCGTACTGGTACAGCTCCTGCGGCGAGACATCCTCCACCACAAAATACTCCGCCAAAAACGAACCCCAGTGCAACCGATAGAACCAGTCCGGCACGTCGCCCTGGAAGGAGAAGAGCCGCCGTCCACGCAGCACCGCCTCGTCCAGCTCTAGGAGCGCGAGGCCCGCGGGACTGCCCAAAGGCACCCACGGGGGATCCACGAAGAGCAGGTTGACTCTTCGGCAGTCCCAGATCAGCCGCGACTTCACAATGCCACCAGTCTTGGGGTCGAAGTCCTTCGCCACCGTGAACAGCCCGACATGTTCGCGTACCCTCGTCGCATATGTTATCATTCCAGCCTGCGCCATCCGCAGGGCAAGTGCCAAGCGCTCCTTCTTGCTCCGCCACGCCGGGTCCGAGTAGCTCTTTGTCGCCTCGTACTTCTCCCAGTCGACTTCCCCCGAGCCCTTGATCATCAGCTGGCCGGCCTCTGTGAGGTACCGCCCAGCGAGACTCGAGATCGCCGCCACCTCCAAACTCTGGGTCCCCGGCGCTGGGAGAGACACCTGCTCCGCTCTCAGAGGGCACAGGTCGCCCTTCCTCAACTGCGGTGAAGCCTTCGATGCCGTAGACGTCGTAGGCCTCGATCCCTTCGCAAAATACTCTGTCGGGCTTCCTCCTGCCAAGCGGCTCAATGCCGCCCTGCCGTCGTTGATGGTCCCCCACTTCGCCCTCGCGGCGTGAAGGTCCCAGGCTTCCGTCACCAGTCTTTTCTGTAGCGGCGTACTCGCACTCCAGTCCGTCTGGCACGTCTGCTTGTCCGTCAGGGTCGATGGATGTATCCAACCACTCGAACAGCCCGTCGCCATACTCCTGATCGCCGCTATCGTCCTCGAAGTCCGCTGCCAGGTTGTCCTCAACTCCTTCTCGGACAGGCTCGAACTCGACCTCCTCGACTGTAGTGGGAATGGGAGCCCAGGCAGACTCCTCAAGGGATCCCTCTCTCTCAAATCCTTCTCCCCAGTAGGCATCTGGGACCACCGAGCGACCTGCGCTCCGACGCACGGGAAAACCTGCTCGCCACAGATAGGCACGAGGCCCCAAGTACAAGAAAGGCCTCGACGCTCCGACGCCGCCGTGGAAGACCCCACAGCCGATCGTCAGGAAGCTCACCAGCCCGATGTAGCACCACCACCCGAAAGACGTGTCCAGCAATAAGCTCGGCACGAAAGCGGCTCGCCGCCGCGGCCGTGGTAGAGGGGATTGACCCCTCAGGCCTTGGCCACAGCACACCACGATAGCTCCGGCCGCAACCTATTCGTCCTCGCCGGCAGGCTGCCCCGAGCGCACCTCACCCAGGTGCTTGCTGAGGATCGCCCGCCGCCTGAGCTTCTCCAGCACCTCGTCGTCGGCCCCCCTGTTCTCGCTGTTGGGGTCCCCGTCGAGGCGCAGGTACTCCTCCGCCAGACTCCAGTCGACCTTGGAGCGCCACTTGCCGCCGTGCTGCGCCTTAGGCCTCTGCCAGTCGCTCTTGCACTGCACCCGCTCGTAGGCCTTCCAGATCGAGTACAGGCGCAGGCAGGTCGCCTCTGCGGCCTGCGAGTTGATCAGCTCGTCGTACTGCCCCTGGCTCATCATCCTGTCAAGGACCAGAGCCAGCATGTTCAGCTCCTGCGCGACGCCTGCGCCCTGCAGCTCCTTGGAGCGGAGCCACTCCTGCGTCTCCACGCGTGCGCTCCGTCCGCCCTTGTAGAGCCTCGCCAGCACTGTCGGCGCCACGCGGGCCCTGATCCCCCCCACTGGGGAGCCTGCCACGCGGCGATACTTCTCCAGCGTCGTCAGCAAGCTCTCCTTTGGGTTCTTCGACTCCTCCTTCAGCTGCACGATCTGGTCCTTCAGGGGGTCATCGAGCTCGCCCAGGTCTCCAACCTTCTCCCAGGATGCCGCACTCGAACTCGGCGTGGGCGACCCTGCCTGCGCCCGGGTGCTCAAGCCCGAGTCCCGCTGCACCAGCTCCTCGTGCTCCGTCAGCTTCTTGATGAACGCATCCACCTCGGCCGAGCTGGGGTCGTCTCCTCTGGACGGCGGCGGCCCCGCGGGGGGCGGGGGAGGCGGGCCTGGCTCCGACGCCAGAGCCCCACTGCCGCAGGCAGGTCCTGCTCCCGCTCCGCCCCCGACATCCAGTCTCGACTTCAGCATACCCACAGCGTCGGCCAAGTCAGACTGCCCTCGAGCCAACTCCGCGAACAGGGTCTTGGTGTCCCGCTCGTCGCCACTCACATCACTCACGTCATCGCCAGCGTGCACCGACCCGCCGTCCGAGTCCGAGCCCGAGTCGCTGTCCGAGTCGACCTCCTTTCGGCACGAGCATCCGTATGTCCAGACCGCGTAGATCACGATGAGAACGCAGCCCAGGTATGCCGCGCCCAGCTCGAGGTCGCCCGATTCGTACAGCTCCCCCAGGAACTCGCGGAAGTTGTCCAGGTCCTCGATCGCCTGCATCCCCGCCGAGACGGCGTGGTACCCTGCGGCGAAGAAGGACCCGAGATGCAGCCAACGCCACAACCTCCAGCCCACAAAGAACACCGCTGCAGCACCACCCCACGTCTTGTGGGCCCACGCCGTCACCACGGTGGTCACGAGGCCCTTGCCGAACCAGGACGCCACCTTGGCCTTCGAGCTCGCCTTCTTGCCCTTCGTCAGGTTGGCCTTGGCGCTCTCGGCACCAGCCTGTCCCAGCTCATGTCGCACAATGAGCCGCTCCGCGGCTATGATCGCCTGCTCTCTCTCCTTCTCACTCAGCCCTGGGTGCTCGGTCCAGGTCACGCCCTTCTTCGGGCGCGGCAGCATCCTCGCCTTGTCCCGCAGGTTGATGATCTGCACCCGCTTGGCGGGGTCGATCGCGGTCCAAACCAACGAGGTCCCTGGACCGACCCGACTCACCAGCAGCATCACCACCCCCGTGTTCCTCCCCTGCGTCTGGACGTAGACGCGGTTCCACCTGCTCCACGGCGCCATGAACCCTGCTGGCGACCCTCTCCACTCGGCGCCACCCCCGAGGTCGAGGGGCTCGATGAGGACCTCCTCGGACTCCCGCTGGCGCCCGCCGAAGACCTCCAGCAGCCCGTCCAGCTCGCAGAGGGCGAGCGCGGTCACCAGCAGCCAGCCGGGACGCCCGATGGCCGGCGTCGTGGCGGCGCCCGAGCCTGGCGGGCTCGGGGCGAGCAGGGGCTGGAAGCTTCCCCTCTCTGAAGGCTCGAGTGCGGGCCTCGCCCGCGAAACCCACGCCTCGAGCCGAAACTTTGCGCCAGGAGAGGAGGGTCAAGCACGAGAGAGAATGCGCTAGTCCTCCTCTTAATTTGCAGTTGAGGCGGCTATCTGAACGTTTACAGGGGGTGTGTAAAAGTGTGTTTAAAAACGCGTAGGACCACCTCCCTCGAACGCCAAGTGGCACAGCCCGCCCGCCAGGCATGGACACGGCCCAGGCAGCCAGCCCCCCAGGGGGGAGTCCATCCCCCCCGCGCGACGCCGGCGCTGCCTCTCCTGCTGCTGCTGCTGCTGCTGCTGCTGCTGCTGCTGCTGCTGCTGCTGCTTGTCCTGGCCATCCTGCTTCTGCCCTTGCCGCCGCTCCTCCTCAAGATCCACCTCCTCCCCGCCATCATCCTGCCTCTCCTGCTGCTGCTGCTGCTGCTGCTGGTCCTCCTCCTCCTCCTCCTCCTCCTCCTCCTCCTCCTCCTCCTCCTCCCCCTTCCTCCTCCCCGCTCCTAACCCTCGTCGGTTTCGTCGTCCTCTCCTGCTCTGTCCCTATCTCCCTCCCCCCCCTAGCCCGTTCTCCTCCTCCCTCCCCCCCCTCCCTCCGTCCACTCCCTCCCCCTCTCTCTCTCTCTCCCTCGCCCTCTCCGGCGACGACAGGCCACCACGACCACGGCGGCCGCGACCACGGCGACGACGGCGGCGGCGCGGGCGGCGCATTGGGGGGGGGAGGGGCCGCCTCTGGCAGAGCTCCCGCTGCCCCTCGCCCTTTTTCTTCTGGGCCTCCTCCTCCTCTCGCCGCAGCCTCGTCCCGTGGGCGGAGGGGTGGGGGCCCAGAGGCACCGAGGACTGAGCACCCTGAGGATTCGAGGCCGGAAGCTCCTGGTCTGCCTCTGTCGCCCTCTGGGCCTCGGGGGGGGGGTGCGCTCTCGTCGCCGCGGCTGGTGGACCAGGGGGTCGAGCTCTGACCCCGGGTCCAGAGACCCCCTCGCATCGCGCAGAAACGCGGCGGACAGTTCTGCTGGCCGTTCCACCTTGGGGGAATCCTCACAAGCCCGAGGACCGTCAAACGTCGTCTCGAAATGGAATGCCGAGATCTTCGGGGGTTGTAAGAATCGGCACGACGCCGTGGATATGGAAGGCAAGATGGGGCCTCCTCGCGCTGGCAAGCCGGAAAGTCCTCAGTTTTAGCGTTGAGGGTCCACTCTTGGGTTCTGGGTCCATCAAACATCGATCTAGGATGGGAAACTGGCCCCCGAGACAGAAAAGAGAATCAACGCAAGCTGCAGTCGTTCCTCCTCCTCCTCCTCCTCCTCCTCCTCCTCCTCTTCCTTCCCCGCGCGCGGGGGAGTGGGAGGAGGGAGTGATGGAGAAGAGGGGAGAGGGAGGATTACCTAAACAGGGGAGCGGGATGGGAAAGAAGAGGAAGGGGAGGGGAGAATTAGGCAAGGGAGTGGTGCCCTCGACCCCGGAAGAGAGGAAGGGGGTGTGACAGAGGAGAAGGCGAAGAAGGAAGAGGAGAAGAGGGCGGTGGGATGAGTGGGAGGCGGGATGAAGAGGAGGAGGACGAAGAGGAGGACGAGGAGGTGGTGGGAGGGGTGGAATGCATAATTGTTTTGGACTGTTCTGTGAATCCAGAAGGTCCGCCGACACACACGCACACATGCACGCACGCACGCACGCACGCACGCACGCACGCACGCACGCAAGCACGCACGCACGCACGCAAGCATGCACACACAGACAGACAGACAGACAGACAGACAGACAGACAGACAGACAGACAGACAGACAGACAGACAGACAGACAGACAGACAGACAGACAGACAGGCAGGCAGGCAGACAGACAGACAGACAGACAGACAGACAGGCAGACAGACAGACAGACAGACCGACAGAAGACACACACACATACACACGCGCGCGCACGCGCACGCGCACGCGCACACGCACACCCCCACGCACACGATAACGGACACGCACTCGCACACGCACACGCACACGCACACGCACACGCACACGCGCACATACACACACACGCACACGCACACGCCAACGCACACGCACACGCACACGCCAACGCACACGCGCACACGCGCACACGCACACGCACACGCCAACGCCCACGCACACCCCCACGCACACGAAAACGGACACGCACTCGCACTCGCACACGCACGCGCACACGCACACGCACACGCACACGCACACGCGCACATACACACACACACACACGCACACGCACACGCCAACGCACACGCACACGCACACGCACACGCCAACGCCCACGCCCACGCCCGCGCCCACGCCCACGCCCACGCCCACACCCATACCTACTCCCAGACACAGACACAGTTACAGACAACGAGACACAGCGACACGGCGACACAGAGACACAGAGACACCGAGACACAGAGACACAGAGACACAGCGACACAGAGACACAGAGACACAGAAACACAACGACACATAGGCACAACGACGAAGCAACACAGAGACACATATACAAAGAGACTCGGCGACACATAGACACACAGACACAGAGACACAGCGACAAAGAGACGCAAAGACACAGAGACACAGGGACACAGAGACACATCGGCACAGAGACACAGAGGCACAGAGGCACGGAGACACAGAGACACAGAGACATAGAGACACAGTGACACAGAGATACAGGGACATGGAGACACAGAGACACAGAGACACAGCGACACAAAGACACAGAGACACAGAGACACACAGCCACAGAGACACGGCGACACAGAGACACAGAGGCACAGAGACACGGAGACACAGAGACACAGAGACAAATAGACACAGAGACAAAGACACACAGAGACACAGAGACACAGGGACACAGAGACACGGAGACACAGAGACACAGAGACAAATAGACACAGAGACACAACGACACAGAGACACTGAAACATAGAGACACAGAGTCGCAGAGACACGGAGAGACAGAGAGAGAGTGACCCATAGACACAGAGACACAGAGACGCAGAGACACAGGGACACAAGGTCACAGAGACACAGCGACGCACAGACGCGCAGACACACAGACACGCAGACACACAGACACACAGGAAGACAGACACACAGACACGCAGACAGACAGACAGACACACACACACAAACACACACAAAGACACCGACACGGACACAGACCCAGACCCAGACACCCACACAGACACAGACACAGACACAGACACAGACACGGACACGGACACGGACACAGACACAGACACAGACACATTCACTTTCACACGCACACACACACACACGCACACTAACGACGAAGCTGAACCACGCCGACCTGGGCGCCGAAGCCCCTAGTCCACCCCGAGTCCTACCACGTCTCAGCGGCCCGTCCCGCACGCAGTGTCGACGCTGCACTGCCCCCACCTGTCTCGCCCCGGCGGTAGTGCTGATGCTTCCAGCAGCTTTCAGACCACGGACACAACCTCGGGTGCCTCGGCGAGGCCAACCTTGAGCTTACGCAGCGCCTCGAACATTTTCTTCACGTCGGGGCGCGCCACGAGCTTCCGCAGCACCTCCACAAACATCTTCTCGGCGAGGCCAACCTTGAGCTCATCATACGTCTTCTCAACCTTGGGCGCCTCGGCGAGACGAGCCTTGAGCTTCCGCGGCGCCTCGAACATCTGTTCAGCCTCGGGCTCCTCGGCGAGGCCAATCTTGAGCTTCTCGAGCATCTTCTCCGCCTCGGGCGCCTCGGCGAGGCCGACCTTGAGCATCCGCGGCGCCGCACCACGCACGTGGCGACCCCCTCGCGCCGCAAGGCGGCGCGCAAGGCTCCGAGGACACAGCGCTGGGCTGGGCTGGCCCTGAGGGAGACTGCCGTGGAATTATTTCAGCCAGAGTCCAAAGCGGGGAGGTCTCCCACTTGGGCCAAGATGGCTACGGAGCGGTGGGAAGCAGAAGGAGGACAGGCGGATGCAGGAGGAGGTGGAGCAGGGAAGAGCAGGAGGTGGATGCAGGAGGAGGAGGAGGAGGAGGAGGTGGATGCAGGAGAAGGATGCAGGAGGAGGAGTAGGTGGAGGAGGAGGAGGATGCAGGAGGAGGAGGAGGAGGAGGAAGAGAAGGAGAAGGAGGACAGGTGGATGCAGGAGGAGGAGGAGGAGAAGGAGCAGGGTAAGGGCAGGATGTGGAGCACTGGCAGGAGCACGATGGACAGGAAAAGGAAAAGGAGGAGGAGGAGGAGGAGGAGGAGGAGGAGGAGGAGAAAGGGCGACGAGGAGAGGAAGGGATGGAGAGACAGCGCGAAAAAACGAAGCGTGGGGGGAGCAAGTCCCTTCTCTGTCCTCATGTCTCTCATCTCTACCCTATTTCTCCTCTTCGTTCTCATCGTCGTCGTCCTCCTCGTCCTCCTCGCCTTCGTCCTTCCCCTCTTCCCCATCACCGTCCTCCTCGTCCTCTCCCCCTCCACATGGCCACGGCATCCCGGGTCGAGACCACGACCCCGTGCGCCGAGGGCCCCAACGCCTCCTGGAGCTACCCAAGCCGACAAGTGCTCCAACCTGGAGAGCCCAGGCACGAAGAGCAGCACGAGTGTGCCAAACACTTGGGCGGTTCTTAACCCTCGTCCCACCTAAACTCTGTTTGCCCTCCCTCCCCTCTCCCCCCCCCCATGCGTCAGGGCGGCCGCGGCCTCTCCTCCTCAACCTCGCCCCCTTCTCCCTGTCCCTCCCCCTCCCTCTCCTTCTCCGCGCCCTCCCCTCTCTCGTCGTCGCCCTCCTCTTCCTCCTCCTTCTCCTGCTCCTACGCCTCTCTCGCACGCTGCGCAGTAGTGGCTTTGTGTGCAGGGCCCCCATGGCCGGTCGGTGGATCTCCGAAGTCCGAAGTCCGTTCGTGGCCGTGAGCGCTCAGCACGCTCTCCCAGACGGCCTCGGCCCCCCGAGTGCACAGGCCCCTCGTGCGTGGCGCGAGGCGAGCGCTGCGAGGCGAGGAGCGCTGCCGTTCACCTGAACGTCCTCAGCGTCCCTCAAGGGGCCCTGGGACACGCAAATGACTAGACACAAATAGCAGGATTCCCCATATGTTCCCACATGTTCTTGGTTCTTGTCTTCCCCCCCACTTCCCGTAGTCTCCCATTTTTTCGGGGGAACCGACGATTCACTGTGTCTGTATGCCTTCTCCCTCCTGGGTCCCCTTCCCCTCCCTCCCCCCCCTTCGGCGTCAGGGCGGCCACGGCCTCTCCTCTTCTTCTCGCAGAGCCTTCTCCTCGGCCTCCTGGCGCGCCTTCTCCTCGGCCTGCGGGCCGCGCGCGCTCGCGCGCGCGCGCGCCTCGGAGCCCCTCCGATGACCTTCGGCGGCCCCCGGCGGCCCTCGGCGGTGGCCGCCAGGGGCCTTCGGCCGTCGCCGCCGCCGCCGCCGCCGCCGTCGTCGGCGTCGTCGGCGTCGGCGTCGTCGCTTTGCCGTCGCTGTCGCCGCCGTCGCCGTCGCCGCCGCCGCCGCCGCCGCCGCCGCCGCCGTCGCCGCCGCCGCCGCCGTCGCCGCCGCCGTCGGCGTCGGCGTCGGCGTGGCGTCGGCGGCGCGTCAGTCCGCCGCCCGCCGCCGCGTCGTCGCCGCGGCCGCGGCGCGGCCGCGGCAAGCGCCAAGGACCTGGGGCGCGTCGGGCCGCGGGCGGCTGGCCTCCAGGCGCTCCCGCTCCTCGGCCGCCCGGCGCTCCTCCTCCTGCGACGGGTGGGCGGCCAACATCGGCCGGCGGCAAAGCCGACGTCGCGACGGCGACGGCATGACGGCAGGGGAGGTCGGCGACGACGGCGATGTCACCGTCGCCGCGGCCCTCGTCGCCGTCGCCGCCGCCGTCGCCGCTGGCGTCGCCTCGGCGGCGGCGGCCGCCGTCGTCGCTCGCGGCGGCGACGGCGGCCATCGTCGCCGTCGTCGCTGTCGGCATGGTCGAAGTCGTCAGCATCGTCGCCGTCGCTCCCGAGGCTCTTGCCAGGGCCGAGCCCGGCTCGAGGCACTGGCCTCAAGTCGGGCCTGTCCCTCTACAGGGGGATGCTTCGAAATAGTTAAATGATTTGTCTGAGCATGTTGCTCAACAATGTTGGGGTAATATTGGATGATGTTTGGTTTTTGATATACATAATTTCCTAATATATATATATATATATATATTATATTATATATATATATATATATATATCGTCCACAGTCCCCCTCTGTACGAGGACACGCCCGACCTAACACTGGCCCGCGTCGGCCCCCGGAGCGGTCCTGGCGCCAACCCTGGGCGGATGTTGGTCGGGGGTGGTGGGGCGACGGGGGGCGGCGCGAGGCACACGGGGGCCCGGAGGGGCTCGGTGGCCTCTCGGCATCGCTCGGACGCCCCCTCCCCGTGCAGTTCTGCCTCGGTTTCGTGCGCGCAAAGTTGCTTGCTCGCAGGGTGGGCCAGGATGCTCCTCGAGTGGTCCTCGCCGAGCACAAGGGCACACGGCCGAGCGAGGCCAAGGCAGCACTGCTGCGGCTCCTCACAGCGCAGGACGGCCTTTGAGACGCCTCCCCCTCCCCTTCCTCTGGCAGAGGTGCCCCCCCGCCCTGCCGCTTCCTGCGAGCCCGGGGGAGGCCGCACGTCTGCTTCCGATATTTGCTCTTCGCGCCCCCTGCCCGCGCCGGCCCCCCTGGGCTTGGTCTTGCCGCCCGCCGCCGGTGCCTCGCTTTTGCTGACGACTTCGCGCCCTCCCGTCCTGGGGATGGGCGGCCACAAAGGACGTACGCGCCCAGCTATGTACATGAACGCGGACCCTCGACCCGCGAGACCGGCCGCGTGGTACGAACATTCGCGCAATGCGAACTCTCGAAACCAGCGTGGATTCATGTACATGTCCTGGGGATGGGCGGCCATCTGGCCTTCGCGCTGTCCGTTTGGCACCCTTAACCCCCAGGGGTGGTGCCCCACGCCCGCACTGCGCTCCGCCGCCGCTGGCCCCCCTGGTGCAGCAGCCGCCGCGGGCCCGCCGGCTGAGCTGGCCGCGCCACCCGCTCGGGGCGCGGCCCGTGCCCCTGAGCGGCTCGCTCCTCCCTCCCCCCTTTTCGGCCGCCTCCTCTGCCCCTCGGGCCGGGCGAAAGGGGGGGATGGCAAAGGGGGGGGGTGAGAATCAGCTCACGCAGCTGCTTTTCCCAGCGCCTCCCAGCGCCCGGAGGCGCCCATGTATCGAGGAGTGGGCCCGGCGGCGGGGCCGAAACCAGCGGCATGCAGCAGATTTCGTACCCCCCCCTTTCCCCATCCCCCTCTTTCGGCCGTCTCCTTTGCCTCTCCCTCCTCCTGCATGGTGGCACAATTCGCTTCAACGGTGCCCCCGTTCTAGCTCCTTCCGCTAGCGCAGACGGCCCCTGCCTCGCCGCCGACGCGAGACAAATTCTTTGCGTCACAAGCGCCCGTGAAAATTTTGTTCACGACGCTGCAGGTTCCGGGGTCGGCTCGTCCACTGTCGCTCCAGATCGGTCCTCAGTCCCGTCCGGGAAGCTTGCCATCTTGACCCTTCCGTGCTCGAAGCCGCGACCAGCAGCACGCCGTGGCCATGAGGACCTCCAGCGAAGCAAACAAAACAAACACGCCTCCCAGACCTCCGACGTCATGAACTCTTCGCGACCTGGCCCCCCCCCCCAGGATTCCGGCCCCCTCCCCTGAGATGCTCTGTTCGTCATGGGCCGTTTCTGTTGAAGATCCTGGGCGGCCCGAGGCGGGCCCTCTCTAGGCCGATTGCTTGGAGCTGGCGGTCGACGCCAAGAGCCAGGGTCCTCCTTCACAGAGTTGAGCACCAGGCCTGTCCATGGGGTGCGCCCCGCCCGAAATGTCGAGGGGAATCCTGCCGTGGCAACAGTGGTCGCGATTTCTTGCCGTGGCGCCAAGGGTCTGGGTCCTCCTTCGCAAAGTCGATCCCTGGGCCTGTCCCGGGGTGGTGCGCCGCCCAGAGCGTCGAGGAGAATTCTGCCGTGGCGGCAGCGGCGCCGCTGGGAGCCCCCTAAAACCTGGCCGCAGGCGGCGGTCTCGATGTTTTTCCTTGCGACGCCAGGAGGTCTTTGGATCGTCATCGTCGTTCTGCAAGTCTCGCTGGGGCCGAATCGGCGGAGCAACGAGTCGTCCAAGCGCCAGCATCCTGTGGCCAGGGCGGACGGCGAGGACGACTACGCCGCGATAGCCAATCGCTGCGGCCTCCGCCGTCGCAGCCGCCGTCATCGTCTCGCCACCGTCGCCGCCGCCGTCGTCGCGCCGTCTACGTCGCCTCCGCCGCCGCGGCCAGCGTCGCCGTCGCCGTCGCCGCCGTCGTCGTGATCGTCGTCGTGATCGTCGTCGTCGTCGTCGTCGTCGTCGTCGTGAACGTCGTCGTCGTCGTCGTCGTCGTCGTCGTCGTCGTCGTCGTCGTCGTGAACGTCGTCGTCGTCGTCGTCGTCGTCGTCGTCGTCGTCGTCGCCAACTCGCCGTCGGATCAAAACCCGCTCAGACCCGGGCCCCTGGGCCCTCCCGGGGCCCCTCCTGGCCAGCGCGCCGAGCCGCGTCTGGCCGTGGCGGCCCCGCGGGCCTCCAGAGGCGCACCCCCCCCGAGCCTCCGACGGCGCCGCCGCCGCCGCCGAGGTGCGGCGGCGCCCCCTCGGCCAGCCTCTGGGCCTCTTGCTCGGCCTCCTCCCGCCGCCGCCGTCGCCGCCGCCGCCGCCGCCGCCGTCGCCGTCGTCGCCGTCGTCGCCGCCACCGTCGTCGTCGTCGTCGCCGTCGTCGCCGTCGACGGCGCCGCCGCCGTCGTCGCGGAGTGCGGCCGTCTCCTCGGCCAGGCGCTGGGCCTCCTGCTCGGCCGCCTCCAGGCGCGCCTGCTCCGCGGCGGCCTCGGCCGCGAGCCGCGCCTCCTCGGCCTGCCACGGGGGGCGACGGGGGGCCAGAAGGGCGCAGAGTCGGATCGAGAAGTCGGATCTGCGGTCGAGGCGAATCGGAGGGGCGGAGCGCGGCAGCCGAGGCCGGGAGGGTCGCGTCTCGTCGGAAAGCGGCGGGCCGGTGTGCCTCCAGTAAGAAGTCGGAACCCGAATCGGAATCCAGGTCGAATCGAATCGAAATCGGAAGCCATCGAAATCGAATCGAATCGAATCGAATCGGAGGAATCGACACGCGCCCTGTGGGGGAGGGAGCAGGAGCACAGACCACTCAGGCCACCTTTAGAACAAAAAGCTTGCCACGATGGACCCTGGGGCAAAAAGATGGGGGACCGACTTTGTGTGAGAATCTTGGTCGCGGCCCGGTCTTGGTCCGGGTTTGTGACGGCCAGTGGCCAACAAAAACATCCGCCGCTCTTCTTGCTCCACCACGCGAGGTTCGAAGAAGAGTAATCATAAGAAATACAACAAACTGCATAAACAGAACCTTTTGGCGCTCCGCGCGGATCTCTTGGATAAGCGCTAGGCCCCCCTCCCAGGCGCGCGGAGCGCGCTAGCCAGGGGCGGATCCAGGATCCAAGAAATCCGCGCGGACCGCCAAAAGTTTGTGTATGCCGTTTGTTCCTTCTTCGAACCTTGCGCGTGCTGGAACAAGAAGAGCGGCGGATGTTTTGTTGGCCGTGGGCCGTCACAAGCCCGGGCCAAGGCCCCTCACGCGACCAAGACTCTTTCAACATCGATCCCCAGTCTCTTCCCAGGGTCGGTCCATCCTGGAAAGGTTTTCGGGACGCGCCCAGTCGTGGCGACGAGGACCCTCAGAAAGGAAAACTGCCTCCAGACGGGACCCCGACTGCTGTTTGCGGCTGTGCGTTATGCCCGTCGAGAGGGCCAACACAGAAAAGACAACGAGCATAATCAGGACCGAGAACAACAACACAAACGAGACAGGGACGGTAGGAAGAGCCGGTAAGTGTGGGTGGCTCGGCTCGTGCGATGTTCTGATCACCCGGGGTGGAAGCTATGCGATGCAAAGGGGCCGTGGCACAGGTGGTGCTCGAGGACGAAATGTTGCTGTGACGCTCGAGCTGAAGCCGAGCCGACAAACCCGGCGCTGTTGAATCAAACTTTTCTCGTCGTCGCTCCTCCTCGTGCTCCTCCATGATCGGCGAAAGAGCACGAAGGATCAAGAAAAGGCTGGCGCAGGAGCAGTGAATTTCAAGAACGCAAGCATCTGTGGCTTGCTTTGGACTGTGCGGAGGCCAGGCAGGCTGGGAACGAACAGTTGGCAGAAGGCGCGCGCACAGTAACATTCAAGAACACAATTGCTGGGGTCTGGTTTCGCCTGTGGTCTATTAGCTGGCCAATAGCCAGGTCGGGTTGGAGCCCCCCAAAAAACGATTGTGGTGGGGAGGAGTAGAACTCAAGCGAGCACACCTCGCCGCCTCGTTTTCGCGCATGCACTGGCCAAGCGGGCTGGGAACCAAAAGTGGGTAGGTGCACTCGGGACTAGTCAACAGCAAGAGAAGAAGCTGAGAGGCCTGTGTTGATGCGCTGGCCGGGCGGGCGGGGAGCCCAAGGTGGGCAGGGCAGGTGGGCACCGGAGCCACACTTCGAACTCCGTTTGGGGCCTGATTTCTCCTGCATGTGCTGGCCGCGGGATGGTCGCCCAAAGGGAGCAGGTGCGCTCGGAAGCACCGGGGAAGCAGAAACCGAGCCTCGAAGGACTGTCTTCGCCATGTGCCCGGCCTGCGAGCGGGCAAGTCTGGAGATGAGTGGGGTTGGGCATGTGTGAGGTGATCTAATATGGTTATTGGCTTGAGCCCGCAAAAACCCTTATTTAATGAAAGAGCTGCCTACGCTTTGAGAAAGCCTCATGACAAGCCAGGCGTTTCTGAATTCTTGGCCCGCTGGCAACATGAGCACTTGTGACCCTGAGATGACCCAACTCCCCTCCTGCTTGGAGCGAGCCTCTTGGCAGCCGAGCTGGTCACGCGATGTGCATGTCGAGCGATCTGGCATGCTCGGAATGAGCTTCCTGGCAGCAGCGCTGGAAACGCCCTGCGCCCACTCCCCGCGAGAGGGCACGCTCGGAGCGAGCTTCCTGGCAGCTCACGCCGCCGGCGATCGAGCGGGCACGCTCTGCGAGCTGGCCTCCCGGCCTGCATCCCGGCAGCACCACCGGGTGCGATGCCCGGTGGGCGCGAGCGGGGCACGCTTGGAGTTATAGGCTCCCCGCAGCCGTGCCGGCCCCGGGACATTCACTGTGCCCCGGCCGCGAGCGAGCACTATCTGGTTCGGAGCGAGCCCCCCGGCAGCTGCGCCGGCCACGCGCTGTGCGCCGCAGGCGGGCGCGCACGGCCGGGCGGGAGCTTCCGGGCCTGCCTCTAAGCGGGCGGCGCGGGCGGCGCGACGTGCGCCGCAAGCGAGCGGGCACGCACGGCGAGCCCGCAGGAGGCTCACGGGAGGGACACCGCCGCAGGGCACCTGCGAGAGGTGTACCAGCGCAGGCGGCACGGGCCCGCTGGTCGAGCGTGGCTGGGGAAAAGCATGCCAGAGCTTCAGACATCAGTCCTCGACCCTCGCATATCCCCTGCACCCTCGAAGCTCGTGCATCCACGCTCGATCCTTCGGGCCCCCCAACATGGTGCGGTGGCTCACCGTGCGGTGACTTCGGAATCTCCTGAAAGATCGCACCGCACGGTCCGTCACCGCAGCGTTTTGGGACCCTAGCATTCGATCGGGGGCGTGTCTTGATAACATGTCCGAGCCAAAATATCCCAAACAAATCTTGGACGCCCCACAGCGCTCAATAACATATCAAACCAAATCGTTCCCCTTGGGAATCTCTGTGGAAACCTCTCGGGAAATCTTGCCTCTCGGAAATATCCGTGGCAAAATCTCAAAACAAATATTGCCCCCCGGAAATCTTCTGGAAATTCTCCCGGGCTCCTCGGAAATCTCCGTGGACATCTACCGGGAAATCAACAGCTTTCCAAACAGACTTCCACTGAGATGTCCTGCATCCCAATACTAATCAATCCTCAGACATTCTGGAAACTCCGGAGATTTCGCCCCTCGGAACTCTCCCGGAACATATTGCCCCTCGGAAGTCTCAATGGGAATCTCGCCTGGGAGATCTCCCGGAACAGATTCCCAAAACCATTTCCACTGAGATGTCCCACGTCCCAATAAATTCGAACGAATCCTAACACACATTCTGAACCCCCCGGAGATTTCGCTGGAGCTCCTCGCGTGGGCGGAAAGGCCCGGAGATTTCGACGGAGATTTCCACCCGAAGGGGGATTCCTGAAGATTTCCCGGAGATTTCGGTGGAGAGTCGGCTTGGAGATTTCGCCCAGGGGATCTGCTTTGGAGATCCGAAGGGGCCCCAGCACTGCGGCCGGAGATCCAGGGGAGGATTCTCACACGATTCGTGGCCAGAGTCGCCTCGGACATGTGCTCGAGACCCCCTGGATCTAACCCTATAGAGAGGCCCCCCATCACCTGAGACGTCCTCGGAGAACGACCCCGAGTCCCGAAACCGTGCGGTCGCCCCGACGCCCCACTGCAGCTCATGCCACGCGGCGTGGTCACCGCACCGCTCGCGGCGGTCCCCGATCGGCGCCCTCGCTCCTCGAGGCAGCGGGGGTCGGCCCTCGACCCGGGGGAGCAAGGAGGTGTGCCGATACTTCGGGGGCCCCCACGCGGGGTGGTGACCACACCTTGGCGGCGAGCGCGGGGGGGGGAAGTGAGAAGGGGCGGGCCTTCTCAGAAGGCTCGGGAGTCCCCAGGCCTTCTGAGAAGTTTTCTAAGCCTTCCTCGAAGACAGAGAAAACTTCTCAGAGGGCAGGGGGGCTTCTGAGAAGTCCGACCGCCTTCTGAGAAGGCCTTCTCCTTCTCACTTCCCCCCAGAGCGCCGCCGAACACCGTGTGGTGAGTCGGCGGGGATCCGGGGTCGCCGCACAGTTGTGGGACGCGGGTCGTTCTCCGAGGGTGTCTCGGGCGACTGGGGCCTCCAGGGTCCCAACACCGTGCGCAGACGGGCCGTGCGGTGAGGTCGGGGGGGACTTCGAGGTCACCGCACGGTCTGTCACCGCACCGCTTCGGGACTCCAAATACTGCTACTCCCTGGACCTCTCCCGGGGTGCGCTTTCCGACCAAGGTTTCGAGGAGAATCCAGCGGTGGCGACGCGGGCTCTCCAGGACGAGCAGCGGCATCGGCATCTTTTCCCCCTCTGGCGCTCCTCGACCCTCGATCCTCCTCCGACCTCGGAGATCGGATCGTCGACCCTCGATCTCCGAGGAAGCGGGCGCGAATCCTGGCCTGGCTCTCTTCCTCCCTTCCTCCCTGACGGCCCTCCTCCGCCCTCGTCGCCCTCGTCGTCGTCGTCGTCGTCGTCGTCGTCGTCGTCGTCGTCGTCATCTTCGTCGTCGTCGTCGTTGTCGTCGTCGTCGTCGTCGTCGTCGGGCCAGGCGACGCGCGCGCAGCGAAGCCCGCCTTCGCTGCCTCCTGCTCCTCGGCCTCGCGCAGGGCCCTCTCCTCCTCTTGCCGCTTTTCCAGCTCCTCGGCCTCCTCCTGGCGGAGGGCGGGCGTCGTCGTCGACGTCGTCGCCATCCTCCTCCTCGCTCCTCCTCCTCCTCTTCCTCCTCCTCCGCCTCCTCCGCCTCCTCCTCCTCCTCCTTCTCCTCCTCCGCCTCCTCCGCCTCCTCCTCTTTCTCCTCCTTCTCCTCCTCCTCCTCCTCCTCCTCATCCTCCTCCTCCCCCTCGCTCGCTCGCAACTGAAGGCTGATGAGTTTGTAGCCTATCCAAGCAGAGATGGGGATCAAGTGGACGACGGGAACAGGAAAGTGAATCGAGAGCGATCAGCCCTCATCCCTTGATGACCTTCGAAGACCCAGGAGCACCCCCAGAGGTCCCGCAGGGACGGGGATAGCTGCTCCTGACGCCTTTCGATCGCATCGGCCTCTTCCGGTTGGACGCCCGAATTGGGTACGCAAAAATGGGTACGATGCCCAACAACAAATGTCGCCCAAAACCGACAGCGACCGCTGCTGGGCAGGCGGCCCTCTGTCTCAGACAGCCAGTCCTGCCGGCGCGCAAGGCGCAGACGGGGTCTTGTACAATGAGGCCCTGTGTATCGTGTCTAGTCTGCGCCTCGCCTTTCTCCTGCGTGAGCACGGGCCCGCGGATACAGTCTCAAGGGCATCGGCAAGAGCCCCGCACAAGGCGCACGATGTCCCCCGCACAGGGCCTCCGCGCAAGACCCTTGCCAGCACAATCTAGTTCTACTCAAGACAGTGCGCCTTCTTGCCGTGATTTCCCGCTTCGATCGTACCGCTCCTGGCGGAGGGTGGGCGCTGCCGGCATGGGGGCCGGGCCCGGGGAGGCCCCCGAAGGGCCCACGTGGGCCTCGGCGAGGGGGCGCACCTCCGACGAGGCGGGGGGGGGGGCGAGAGACGGTCCCCGCGCGGTCGCTCGCGGCGCGGCGAGGAGACACGCCGTCTCCCCGCTGCTGCCGGCCCTCCTGGTGGAGGGTGGGCGGAGGGGGGGAGAGGATGCCCCCTTCCCAGAACTGGAGGGGCCCAGGGGCATACAGAATAAGACAGAGGCACAAAGCCCAGGATCCTCCGTTGATTACCCACATCTTCTGGCTTCTCGTCCTTCCCCTCCACCTCCCATAGATGGTCCGCATTTTCCAAGGGATCGATCTTGGGAATTGCGCCGTGATTGGCATGTCGCGCCGATACGAGTGGGCAAGAACCAGCGGCGCAACACGCTACAGCAGGGGCTCGACCACAAGACACCTTCTACAAAAACCCAGCCCTGAGACTCCAGGACGTCCACTGAGTTGTGGTGTGGGAACGCCATGCTTTCCATAGCACAGTCATCGAAACCCACGAACCCCAGGGCACCCTGGAGGCAAGCAGGGTGTTTCTTGGCATGGGTCTCCACTGTAAGCCACAGCTCCTGATCGTATGTTTTGGGGAGTTCTCCTTTCTATTGTTGACCTCCTTGAGGGGGGAGGATCGACGTTCGAGGATCCGTAATTTTCAGGTTTGTTCTTGCCCTCTCCGGGCCTCCGGGAGGCTGCTCCTCGCCATGGCTGGCTCTGCCTCGACACTCTGGTCGGAACGCTCAAAGGAGAAAGGCAGGCCTGTGGATCCATGTTCGGCCTTCGATCGTCCATACCTTCAGCTCCTGTCGTAAAAACGGAAAGCGGAGGTTCTTCTCCACGGTGGTTCTCCTGGGGGCGTCGAGACAACAACCCAACACGGTACGGTGGTCCCCGGGGGAGGGCCTGGACTTCTGGGGGAGCTTGCGGGGGACTCCGGGGAGGAGCCTCGTCGGGGACCTGCGGGGGAAGGACCAGGGGATCCCCCAAAGGTTCCGTCACCAGAAAGCGGGACGGCTCACTTTCCTTTCATCGTGGCCATTGGAAACCCGTTCTGGGCCCCCAAAGGCGCCAGATCATACTGATGATGAGAAGCCGGCCTTGGGTCCAGGGATATGAGCTGGCGGCGTGAGCGAAGCGATTGAATTTGGCGGGCCTCCTGTGGGCCCTCGCCGCGTTAGCCTTCGAGGATCGATGATGGGATGGGTGATGACACTGAGAACGGTGAGATGGCGTGCGTAAGGCATGCTGAGAGGGGTCTCGCGCATTCCACTGGCCCGAGCCGTTCGACCGCCGACCGATTTAATGAATACTCCAAACATGCCTGTTTCGCCTGAGACGTCCTCGAAACATCGAGATGTTGGAGACATCCTCGAAAGACTGAGATGCTGGTCGATTCGCCTGAGGCATCCTCCTTAGCAAAGGGAGGCGTTGAAATCGCTGGCCAAATCTCGGATCTCCGAAGGCCCATGCGCGTCGCAGCTCCTGGGACATGTAAACGCATGAATGAGATGCGCACTCAAGGCTGCGAAAGCCTTGCTTCGGCGTGCCCATTACGCATTCCCTGCGCCCCCAAGCCTCTGATACACGCGAAACATGAGGGATTCGCATAACCAACTTCCTAGCCGCCTCAGTTCGGTACACACCTTACGCACTTCGTGCATCAAGGGAGCTCGACTGGCCCCAAAGACTGATCCTTGGGGTCTCAATTTGGCATGCTGCTTTCTTAACCAAGCGAAATGCGCGCGGACACGGGCTCGTAGCGCACTGAGGCTCTGCGGCGGCAGGCCGCGAAAAAGGCCAGCCAGGTAGATGTTACCACGGTCTGGGAGGTGCACCCCCGACGGGCCAACTGGCCATGCATTTAATCAGGTCTCACACAATGACCAACTAAGCGACTCAGTACGATAATACACAAGGATGCTGGCCAAGTGACACGCTGGAGCTGTATTGAGACGCGCGGGCCCCCTGCCCCGCAGGAGAACTCGGCTGCGTCCTGAGGTGGCCCAAGCCACGAACACTAGCGGCGCCCAGGGGACGACCCCAAACTAGTGGAGCCCAGACGACGAAGCAGGATCGGCGGAAGACGGAGAGAAGAAGAGGCAGTTGAGAGCAAAAGCGATGCGAGGGCTCACAAGTAGAAGGGCACACAGAGATTTCGCACGAGTGCCAGCAGCCGTCCCCGGGATGGGTGGAGGCCGAAGGGCGCCTGGAAACGGGTGCCGAGATGCCAATATGTCTAGGATACCCAGCTGCGCAGCGTCCCGCACCGAGGCATTGCACCGAACTCTGGAGACGGGATCGGAATCGGACCAAGAGTCGGAGACGGAGTCGACGCCGGAGCTGTCGCTGGAGTCGGAGGCAAGGTCGGAGCCGGAGCAGGTGCCAAAGGGGAAACAGGAATCGATATCATAGCCGGCGTCGGCCGCCGGAGCGGTAGGCGTGAAGGAGCCTGTGGCGACAGTCGAGGTGATGGCCACGTCGTTGCAGGGTCGCAGTCGTGGCGTTGATGGTCGTGGTTGTGGTGGTGGTGCTGCTGCGGGTGGTGAGGTTGGTGGCAATTGGAATTGCAGGTCGGCCGTGCAAAGTCGGCCAGGTAGACGTTCTCGCCGCTGGCCGGGCAAACGTCACCACATCGGCGCTGGAGCTGGAGCTGGAGCTGGAGTCGGGATTGGAATAGGTCCTGGGGTCAGAACCTGATTTGTGCACGACTCCGCCATGGCAGGCAACACCGAGCCTGTACTGATGGAGTCGGCAGCATGGGGCGGGCGCACGAGTCCGTGAGCGCAGACAGCACAGAAACATGGACAAATGGCTACTCGTGGCCCTCGTGGTTCAACTGATCGAATCTGTCGTGCTGCCCGTGGTATGCGCCGTGCTGCTCATCGTAGCCTTCGTGTGTGCTGTGCATGGTATTCTTCGTGAAGCCCATGGTCTCTGGCGTACTGCTCGTGGTACCCGTCGTGCTGCTCATAGTTCCGTGCTGGCGTCGGTGCTGGTGCTGATGACGGTGCAGGCGCTACCAAGCTGGCTCGCCCAAACTGACGCGTAAGGTTGGGCCTCGGATAGCGGATGGGCGGGAGAGCCAAAATCGGTAAGTCAGGCGGGAGATGTAATAGCGTGTGGGCCAGCACGCCGAAATTGGTGCTGGCCTCGGTGCCGGTGTCAACGCTGATGTAGGCGCTGGTGTAGGCGTCGGCGTCGGCAATGCTGTCGGCGCTGGTGTAGGCGCTGGCGTCAGTGCCCCAGGGACCTCCAGGGGCGATCTTCTGGCCCTTCGGACGGCTGAAGTGAGCCTCAACTCGCCACCCTCTTCACGCACTTCGTGCCTCCTGACTCCCAGGGGCCCTCAGCTGACCCCTTAGACGGTTCCGGGGAGCTTCGATCCGGCACACCCCTCACGCACTTCGTGGGGCCCACGGACCTCCACAGGCCCCCTGCTGGCTCCGAAGACCGCCTGCCCCCCCCAGAGGACGCCAATAAGGCCCTGAGAAACTTTGCAACGAATGGTACCGGCCCTCGTCGAAGCCGTGCCCCGAACACCCCTTTGGGGGCCTGCCGTGACTCCCGCCCTGCGGGCCCAAGTGACAGCGATGAACTTGCCGTCGCTCGGACGTCCACTCCGCGTGCATGTTTCGGTTTCGTGCGTGCGTTTTTTTCCTGCACGATGATCCAGGATGCTCCTCGATGGCCCCAGCCGCGAAAAAAAACGCACACGTCCGAGCGATGCCAAGGCATCGTCGAAACACATGGCCCGCCAGCGCCGAAGGGGCCGCCAAACCAAGGGCGCAGCGGGGCGCCAAGGCATGACAGCGGGCGCGGCCAGACGGGCAGGCCCCGCTCAGCCAGCCCCCAACGACGTGGCCAGAGGGATGCTGGCCCCCCGGGGAGCCCGAGCGAGTTGGGGTGCTCTGGGGGGCCAGGGGCCCCCTCGTCCTCGTCCTCCTCCTCCTCCTCCTCCTCCTCCTCCTCCTACACCTCCTGCGCCTCCCCTTCCTCCTACACCTCCTCCTCCTCCTCCTCCTCCTCCTCCTCCTCCTCCTACACCTCCTCCGCCTCCCCTTCCTCCTACACCTCCTCCCCTCCTCCTCCTCCTCCTCCTCCTCCTCCTCCTCCTCCTCCTACACCTCCTCCGCCTCCCCTTCCTCCTACACCTCCTCCTCCTCCTCCTCCTCCTCCTCCTCCTCCTCCTCTTTGTCCTCTCCTCGCTCCTGGCCCCCCCCCAGGGGCCCCGTTCTTCACTCTCCGCTGGAGGGCGGCGCTGGGTGCGATCCGGCGCGGCTCGGCGAGCACGGGGCGAGCGTCGAAGCCTGCCCGCCCCCTGTTGGGGCGAGGGCTTTCCGGCATCAGCTACGCAAGTTGCACGCGTACGCACGAGGCCACCCTGGGCACGACAGCTCTGGGCTTGAAGTGCGGCGGGGGGCAAAGCAACAAGAGCGCAGTCCCAGACTGGTGGAGTGGACCCACCGGCGGCCCCCTGGCGTCGAGAGTGACTCACGAGGTGGGGTGCTCTGGGGGAGGAGGAGGCTGGGGAGGAGACGAGGACGAGGAGGAGAAGGAGGAGGAGGAGGAGGAGGAGGAGGAGAAGAAGTCCTTCTGCTTCCTGGCCTTCTCCTCCGCCTCGGCGAAGGCCCTCTCGGCAGCCTGCGCAGCGCCCAGGGGAACGGTACAGGGCACGGCGACGACGACAGCGACGACGGCGGCGGCGGCGACGACGTCGTCGTTCCGAAGGTCCCTGAGCGCTTCCGCAGGCTCTCCTCGCTGCGGCTGGGTGCAACTCGAGAAACTGGTAGGGATGGAGCCCAGGAGGGGTCCACGGGTCCAGGGGCTGACCGAGCCGAATTCGATCGGAGTCGCCCCTAGAGGTTCGAAGATCGAACTGTCATCTGCTTCTTGAGGTTCGAAGATCGAAGATCGAACTGTTACCCGAGTCGAAGTCGTTCTTTGAGGGTCGAAGGTCGAGCTGTTGATCGACGTCGTCTTCTGAGGTTCGCAGGTCGAGGTGTTATCTGCGTTCTGCCTTCGGGGGCCTCTGGGGGACCTGCTGCAACCTCCGGCGCCCTCGCCGGCGTGCGTCGTGCACCCTCGCCGTTCGTCGTCGAGTGGAGGAGGGGAGGAGGAAGGACGGGGGAGGGAGGGAGGGAGGGTGGGGAAGGACGAGGAAGGAGGGAGGGAGGAAGGAGGGAGGGGAGTAGGAAGGACGAGGATGGGGGGGGGAGGGGAAGGGGGATGAGGAAGCAGGGAGGGATGATGGAGAAGGAGGTTCTAATTCTACGTGCACTCTGCGCGAGGGTCCTGCCCCAGGCAGGCCGCTTCAAATATAGACTCGCAGTCAGTCCAGATCGGGGACACGGATGCTTGACTTTGAAGGCAGCCCCTCCTAAAGCCGAGACAGCACCTGCTTACCAGTGTTCGAGGGGCATGGCCCTCGCGTCGGGTCCCCGTCCACGTCTTTCAATCTGCGAGGAGGTTGCACAGTACACCTCCCCCCCGCACACCTAACAGTACAGGACGGCTCGCAGCACAGACAGCCACTGGATGAAGTGGCATTGATCCAGCCAATGGGTGGTCAAGGGCACCCCGCACGACCCAGGCGGGCCGATTCATCGGGGGCGGGGGCAGGATTGCCATTGCTCCATCTTGCTCGCTTGGGCAGCAGCTGAATCCGCAGCTGGATGAAACACCTGGGTTTGCATCGGACCGGCTAGAACTCTGCCAATTTGCCCCTCAGGCTAAAGTAGCCTTCCTCGCGCTATGATTGTGGCCAACACCTCGGAGACGGCACGATCATCCTGCCTGAGGGGCTACACATCCGCAACTTCGCCTTGGCTCGCGGAGTCCACCCCGCTCCTCCTCGGACCAAACAGATAAACAACACCCCTCTCTGCATACGGAGCAAACGTTTTGAAACGAGCAGCGCGAGATCATCAGCTCGCACTGTGGCGGCAACATCTGCCTCGCTGCGCTGGCCTGCCCCGGTCGCCCACGGCGGCAGAGAGATCCGCCGCCCGGTCAGGGTGCACCTCGCCATCAGACAGGCACATGGTTACGGCCTGGGCCTGTACGGGGTGTCCCTTCGGTGGCAACTCACGGGAGCCTCCCATACCATCTTGTCGGCTCTTGAGAATCGACGCTCGTCGACGCTAAATCGACGCTAATTCGATACTTGTCGACGCCAATCGACGCTAGATCGGCACTATCTCATCGACTGCCAGACGCTAGCCGACGCTAGCGCACCCTGCAAACATAATCTCGAAGGTACACGAGGCTCCCAGAACAAAGAGCCCACCCCCGTTGTCTCAAGACCCGATGCTATGATAAAACCTTGTCGCCGCGGCGCGGCAGAGGCAACCCGCACGGGCGTTCGAGTGGTCGGGGGGCGCTCCTGGCACGCATTGCCCCGCAATATGGGGTGGGGGCGCGCGCCACCCGATGATACACGGCCCACAGCCCACGCATCCGACATGCTTGGCTTCAGCTTGGTCCCGCAGGCTCTCGCCGGCCCCCTACCACGGGCGAAGGAGTTAACGGTCGCAATGCACGCTGCTGCCTCCTGCCGTGGCCAATGCCACCTGGAGGGGGGCGAAACACCGGCTCGAGGGGCAGACCGCGCAGTGCAGTGCAGTGTTCCGCACCGCACTGCGCCTACTCCCCCATGACCACCCTGAGTGCGACGGTAGACCAGCCGCACCATCGAAACCTCCAATCCTTCGAAGGCTGTCCTCCCGATCCGTCGATGCCCCGAACCCCACCCCGAGGAGGAGGAGGAGGAGGAGGAGGAGGAGGAGGAGGAGGAGGACGAGGAGGAGCAGGAGGAGCAGGAGGAGCAGGAGGAGCAGAAGGAGGAGGAGGAGGAGGAGGAGGAGGAGGAGGAGGAGGAGGAGGAGTAGACCCCCTCGAAACTAGCCGCCCCCACCCTCTCACACCAGATCTCGGGGAGGGGGCTGACGGCGCACGGAAGCAGAACGAGGGGGAAGGCCCCTTCTAGGCTCTTCGACCGCACGCTCGGCAAGGTGTTTGGGCTCTCTCGCTCGGGTGCTCGGGAAGCTGTGGACTACATTCGCACATGTCCAATACCGACGCTGAGGCGCCGCGCCTACCGCCGAACTCAACATAGTGGCGGAGCTGTGGCTCGCTGCATTTAGCCGATCCCGAGGCCACGAGCAGGCGGCCGACGCATTCCCAAGAACTTCTGCAGCCTCGTGTTCACCACCACGAACAGGCTCAGCAAGGAAACGCTTCCTCATTGACCAACAAAGGGCCCCCAACCCTTTGGGAGGGGACCTTAGTTAGGTGGGCCTGGAGCATTAGGGATGACGGGGGTCTTTTCTGCAGGTGTACCAGGCCAAACCGCCCAGATCGATTATCCCTAATGTGAAGACGGCGACCTCCGTGAGGCCACGTCTTCACCGTGATATTATGGCTACAGGTCCTTTTGTTCTCAATGACTTGACCATGGTACGTAACCTCCCCCAGCCAATCCCGCTCCACGCTAGCTCATAGCAGCAAGATCCCAAGACAAGGCAGAACACGTAAATATCAGAGCGGACCATGACCCAAACGGGAAATCGCCACATCCGGTGTGACAACACACTGGGGATATAGGCTGCCGTCCTGGATCGAGACGCGCAACGGCCGCGTCTGGCACAGGGCCGCTCACGTCCTGCCAGCGGTGCCCCGGTGCGCCTGGACTTGGCTTCGAAGGGAGCGCCACACCGTAGCACTTAGCACCTTGCATTCGAGAGGCGTGGCCCAGATCCCCCCAGACGCTGCCGAAAACGCTCTCGACTGCCCATGGCGAAGCCCAAGCTGAACGTCGTCCTCAGCAGACCTCAGAAGCCCCAGGTCGGCAGCTGTGCGGGCCCCGGGGCTCCACCACGCAGAGCACGCGGCAGCCTAAGCTCGCATGGATGAGGCACGAGCAGGCGAGAGCCCTCAAAACTTCGCGGCCGCAGGACCCCACCGCCAGGACGGCGGCTCATACAGTTTCCCAACACGTCCAACAAGCTCAGATATGCAGGCGGCCTCCTGGCGCTGAACAAAGGCGATGCTTCGCCTACGCTGCAGCTGAAGGGTGGAAGGTCTCGCGCGTGCAGAAGTGATGGCCTCCAGGATCTCTAGCAGGTGCCTTAATCCCATACTCTTGAAACGATTCGTGATCTCGGCTGTGAGCTCTCTGTTGGACCAAACGGGGACAGTCTTGGTGGCAACTGTGGTACCGCCAGCCCCAGCTGGTGGCAAAGAAAAACAACAGCGAGAACCGAAACTTGGGGGTTACACATTTTGGGCGATGTCCCTAACAGAACTCTGTGGTTCCCATTGGCTGAAACGGAACGGCGGCAACATCAAAACTGTCACAACATGGTGAATTCTTTTTTAAGGCACGAGTTGGCCACGACCTCACAACATCCCCATCCCAGTCGAGATGATATCTTGTCAAACCCCCTGGACCTCCAACGTCCGGGTCCGGGGGCCTCATGGGACGCGAACCCCACGTACTGCTGCGGCACGTCTGGTCCAAGGTCGAGGACCAACCACGTCAAACATGTCTTCCAAGTCTCAAGAAGCCCCACAGCAAAGCCCAAAAAGCTCGGCCATCACTCGGCCAACACCTCGACACAAAGCAGTTTGCAACGCAAGCGAGGCCGAACGGTCGTGTCGTGATGGCAAACAGAGTTAAGTAACCCGGCGACGATGCCTATTATTATCTGAGTCGGAAATATCAGACGTCCCTCGCAGAAACTCCGCGTGTTGGAATCGGCAAGGCTGGTCTAGGCGGCAGAGAAAAAAGGAGAGGCTGCCATTGACTATCTCCAACAGCTACATCCTCAAAAGAACCCAAGAGCAGCTCTTTGACTGTCCGAATTCCCCTTAATCTCGTAATCAGCCGAAGGCTCTCAATCGCCCTCCAAAGCTGACCCCCAAACTCTTGCCTGCGCCCCATCATATCCTCAAAGAGCTGCTTGACACCCGACGGTACTATCAGCACCTCGAGGCCTGCAACTTGGTCGTACTCAAGCCAGGAGTGCGGCACCTTTCGAGAGAGCCTTGATCAGCCACTGCTGCATGCTGGCCTTAGTTTCGGCACGCGCCGCAACCCACGCCTTAATAAGAATGGTGCTGACCGCATCGGACAGCTGATTCATATAATCCAAATCCTGGGGAATACTAGAAGGTAAGCTTGCCATCTGTCTGGGTCACGACCACCCCCTGGAGCGACGCAAACATTCCGCGAAACATGGGCCCAAAAACAGAACAAATGCTGCTTGAAACTCTCTTCACCAACTCCGTGTCGTCCAACAACACCCTTCTTGAAGGCAAGATCGGTTCCGCGAGAGCCCCCTTGCGGGATGTATTCCATGGCAGAGGCCCTCGAAAGACACATCGTCTCGGCAGCCCTGCTCCAGATCGAATAGAAAGGGAGCAGGGAAGGAGGGAGAGGAGGATGGGTGGCTGGAACGGCCCCGAAGGGAATAATCTCGCAAGACAAGGCGCGCGCGAACCGGGCGCGACCGCGGGGATCTAGTCAGCACCTGCGGTGACAGGTCCCCGACCGTACCGTCGGACACAACATGCCGACGCGGATGGATAAGCCGACGCAGTAGAACTTGAGGGGAGGACGGCCCGATCGGGCATTATCGCCCTCCCACCGCCTCTCCGGAAGCCGCCGCGACCGCCGCCCCGGCGTCGAACGGCCTCCTCGGCCTGCCGCCGCCATGAGCTCCGCCGGCCAGGAAACGATCCCGCTGGGCTAGGACGGCCTCGACGAAGCTCGCCATCTCTCGGACGTCCATTCCCTGTGTTTTTTCGGTTTCGTGCGTGGTTTTTTCGCCAAATGATCAAGGATGCTCCTCGATGGTCCTCGCCGAAGGAAAAATGCACACGTCCGAGCGATGTCAAGGAAGGCGGCGGCTCGCGCGATAGCCCCCTTAACCGAGCGCGGCCGCCACCACGGCACACGCGTCGGGGGGCTCCGCAGGCCGCCGCCACGCCAGCACCGCCGAGGCCGAGGCGTGCCGGGCGGCCGCCGTCGCCCGCCGTCGGCGTCCAGCTCCTCCTCCTCCTCCTCCTCCTCCTCCTCCTCCTCCTCCTCCTCCTTCCATTCCTCCTTCCATTCCTCGCCTGTTCCATTCCTCTCCTCCTCGCGCCCGCGGCGCGCCCAGCGTCGTGAGAGTGAGGCCAGCGGCAGCGCCATGCCGCGCCGCGGCAGGCGCGGTGCTCGGCGGCGCCGCCGCCTCGGCCCGCGGCCGCCGCCTGCCGCGTCCACCGCCAGGGGCGCGGCCAGCCTCCCTCCAGGGCGGGCGCTCGCTTCCAGGGCCGCCGCGCCGGGCGCGTCGCGGCCCGCAGCGGCAGCACCGCGGCCACCTCGCCCTCGCCGCTGCCGCCGCCGCCTTGGGGGAGGCGCAGCGTCGGGCGCGGGCGCGGCCTGCGGCGCGGCGGAGCCCTGCAAGCTCGACGCTGCCGCGCGCAGCATGCCCCTGGCGGCCCGCAGCAGGCGTGCCGCCGACTGGGAGTGCCCCGCCGCGAGCCCCGCCACCGCGTGCGCCGCCAACCACGCCCCGCGGGCGGTCCCTTCGGCGTCGCGGCGGCAGGCTGGCTGCGTGAGCGTGCCAGGCACTGCTCCGCAGCGAGCGCTGCCGCTGCCCAGCGATGCGGAATTGAGCCAAGATGGGAACCGGGGAGGGCGAGGACAGCGAGGGGAAGCAGAGGGAGGATCGTCGAAACGCGACCCCTCGCTGGGGGGCGACGCTGGCCTCGCGCCGCTCCCTCTCGCGGTCCTCGCGCTCGGCCTCCCGGCGGGCCCGCTCCTGCGCCTCCCGGTCCCGCTCCTCCTGCTCGAGCCTGGCGCGCTCCTGGCGCGGAAGAGCGTCAAACATCTTCCTCACCATTCGGTGCACCGCCTCCTCCTCCTCCTCCTCCTCCTCCTCCTCCTCCTCCTTCTCTTCCTCCACCTCCTCCTCCTCCTCCTCCTCCTCCTCCGCGTCCTCTGGATGGGGAGAAGGGGTTTGCTCTTTCGGGGGCTCCCAACACCCTCGTTCCTCGCAAAAAAGACACGAGGGAGGTTATGTGTTGACGGCAATTCATGAGCACATCGAGGCGCTGTGCAGAAGACGTGATCTAGGCGATACTCTGGAGGCGCTTTGGGGCTGTCTTGGGGGCCTCTGGGTCGTCTTGAAGCCATATTGGATCGTCGTGGGGCTACCCTGGGCCGTCATGACGCTCTCTTCCACTGTCTTGGCGCTCTGTCTGTGCCCTGTTGGACTGTCTCGGGGCCGTTGGGGCTCCGACTGCCCTGGGGGTGCGTTGACGAGCTCGTGCCCCCCCCCCACCCCCCCCGCCTCCCCCTAGAATGCCCAGGAAAGGGCGGAAGGGGGAGGGGGACAGTCAAATATTTCACACGCCTTTTCACCCTGGCAAGCGGGGGTCGGCTGATTTCGTGCGATGTTGCGCGTGATCCTATCAATGGTGATCTCAATCGTCCAGATAGTGTAGATACGTGGGATATGCTCCAGAGAAGTTGTCGTTCAAAAGACTAGATTGGCGGCCCATCATGTAAAGCATTGTCGGCCGCCCAATGGCAGGAGCTGAACGTTGAAGACAATTGTAGCCCTCCTCTCCCACTCCGTGCGCTCAAACATCGATGGGGCCGTTCCAACAGTTGCAGGGAATGGGGCCTGTACCTTGTCAACTCGGGCTCACGCACTCTTCGAACTCGCAAGGATTACCCGGGTGGGGGCCGGTTGCTGTTCAAACTATGGCTCTCGCCTGCGACACATTGCACGATTTTACCACGGGAGGGAAAGCGTGCACCAAGTAAGCGAATGGAGGGCGCTTCCTTGTCGAAACGGGCCTCTCGTTTGAGGCATCCTTGATTTTACGACCGGGAGCTTGAACACATGCAGCTATCACACGGATGGATGGTGGCTTCTTTTCAGAATGGGGCTCTCGCGTGAAACTTCCTCAATCTCAATGAAGGGAAGGGTACACGTCGTTCATATCCAATCGTGCTTATCTCTAATTGTGCTCGTTTCTAATCGCTCCTGGCCCCCTAGTGGCCAAGAAGAGGCCCAGGATAGAGCAATTCGAAATGAAAGGAACCTGCCCCCCCCCAAACAATCAAAGAGCTTTCGGAGAATTAGAAGTGAACGGTCCCCACCCGCGGCGCCTTCGTGGGGAGGAGGAGGAGGAGGAGGAGGAGGAGGAGGAGGAGGAGGAAGAGGAGGAGGGCGAGGAGGAGGGCGAGGAGGAGGAGGAGGAGGAGATCAATGACACTGGGGGGGTCCCTAAAGCCACGGGGCGGTCGCTGGATCGCTGGACACACCCTTGCGCCTTTTGCTGCCAGCTCCTCGCACCCTGTGCCGCTCGCCGAGCACGTGCAGGGGGAACCGTGGACCCTGTCTCCCAAACCATGCTTGCACTCAGGGGGTCTGGCTTATCTTGCTTCAGTGCTTGGATCCATGCCCCAAGCTTTTCCCACGTTGGGGCCCGTGCTTGCTCGTGGGCTCCTCGTGAGCGCATCGTGAGCCCGGTGGGCTTCCAGACGTTGCGCCGGGTTGGCGCCCGGCGCCCCCTCGTGGGCGCCTCGTTGAGCTGGGCGGGCTCCCTAAAACTTCCGCCGCGGTCGCGCCCGCACCCCCTCGTGCAGCGAGCAGGCCGACCTGCGTGGACGCACGCGGGAACTTGCGACGGGAGGGCGTCTTGTAGCACTGTTCATACTTCCGTGGGTCTACTCAGGCCCTCCCCCACGTCCTTCTCATCATCATCATCATCATCATCATCATTATCATCATCATCATCATCATCATCATCATCATCATCATCATCATCATCATCATCATCATCATCAACATCATCATCAACATCATCATCATCAGCATCAGCATCAGCATCAGCATCAGCATCATCATCAGCATCAGCATCATCATCATCATCATCATCATCATCAGCATCAGCATCAGCATCATCAGCAGCATCAGCATCATCAGCAGCACCATCATCATCATCAGCATCATCATCATCATCATCATCATCATCATCATCATCTGAATCATCATGTAAATCATCATCATCAGTAGCAGCAGCATTAACACCAGCATCATCATCATGATCATCATGACCACCATGATCATCATCATCATCATGAGCATGATCATGATCGTCATCATCATCATCATCACCATCAGCAGCATCATCATCACCATCATCATCATAGTTACCATCATCATCATCATCATCATCATCATCATCATCATCATCATCATCATCATCATCATCATCATCATCATCATCATCATCATCATCACCTTCACCATCATCATCATAATCATCATCATCATCATCATCACCATCATCGTTGTCATCACCATCATCATCCCGCTCCCCCTCCCACCTCGCCCCTGCTCCTCGTCCGCTCTTGCCCCCCCCCCCGTCCTCCTTGCCCCCTCGCCGAGAGAGGGCGGGACGGGCCCCCCTCCGTCGAGTAGAGCCCTCCAGAGACGCCCAGGGAGCCCGAGGCGCGCCGCGCCGGCGGACCCCTCCTTGATTCCGCGGGCGCGTGCGCGCGCGCGGCGGTCCTCGGCCTGGGCCCTCACCTTGGCCTCCTCCTCCATCTTCCTTCGCGCGCGCGGGGAGCGCGCGGGTGACGGGCCCCCGCGCACCCTTGCTGCCTGCCCTCCTGCACTCTCCTCCTGCACTCTCCTTCTCCTCCTCCTCCTCCTCCTCCTCCTCCTCCTCCTCCTCCTCCTCCTCCTCCTCCCCATCGTCGCTTCCTCCCGCCGCCCTGCCCTACCTCTCTCTCCTTGCCTATCCTGCCGCCCTGCCTGCCCAACAGGAACTCTTGGGAACTCCACACGGACAGGTCGCGCTGGCACAGCTCACCCGAAGCAGACGACCGCCGAGAACGCTCGACGGATTTGCCCACCCTGGTCCGCCTCCTTCGGGGGCGGCCAAGAGGGGGGGGAGGTCCGCGCGGATTTCTCGGATCGGCGCTGGACCCCCCTCCCTGGCGCGCGGAGCGCGCCGGGGGCGGCGCCGGAGGCGCCGCCGGGGGGCCCAGCGCCGATGCGAGAAATCCGCGCGGACCTCCGAGTTTTTATGTTTATGCCACTTTTTGTTCCCCTAATCCTGAAAGGTCGGGTGCTCTGGCTGACCCCCGTTGGCATTGACCCCGTCTCAAGGCTCCCGAGGGCTCCTGCCCCCCTCCCTGCCGGCTCCCGCCCGGAGGAGGAGGACGGGGAGGAGGAGGAGGAGGAGGAGGAGGAGGAGGAGGAGGAGGAGGAGGAGGAGGAGGAGGAGGAGGAGGAGGAGGAGGAGGAGGAGGAGGAGAGGAGGAGGAGGGGACGGGGAGGAGGAGGAGGAGGAGGAGGAGGAGGAGGAGGAGGAGGAGGAGGAGGGAGGAGGAGGAGGAGGAGGAGGAGGAGGAGGAGGCCCCCCCCCCCTCCGCCTGCCGGCGCACGCCTCCCTCCTGGCACTGGGCCTGCCGCCCCGCGGGGCGCGCTCGGGGCTCTCGTCCCCCCCAGCGGCCACACGTGGGCCTCGGGGCGCGCTCTCTCCGCAGGGCACGCGCGGCTGGCGGCAGAGGTCGGGCGTTGGCAAAACTGGGTTTAGTGTGAAGTCGGGCCTGTCCCCCTACAGGGGGATTTTCGACGAAAAAAAAAGAAATACACAACAAATAATCCAAACATGCTCCAAAAATAGTCTGGGGACTACTTTTTTGAGTATGTTTTACCTTTTTGGAATATTTGTTAGGTATTTTTATTTTGCGTCGAAAATCCCCCTGTAGGGGGACACGCCCGACAGAAGTTTAGTGGGACGTGGTTTAATGATGTGTACTGGGGGACGTCCTCCCGCCCCGTTCCACTAACCGGAACTGCCGTCACCCGAAAAAGCACCAGCTACGGCAGACCTGGTTCAGTGATCCTGGCAAATTTAGGGGCTCCAAGGCCCTACCACTAACCGGGTCCCCTTACCTGGGGTCCTGGCTATACCCGAGGAGGGGCGCAGCCGCCGAACAGAAGGCAGCTTCGCGGCGAGGACAGACGCGAAGGCGGGAGACGGACCAGAAAGCGGAAGGAGGGTGAGTGACGGCGGGAGGTGGAGCGAAAGCGGGAGGCGGAGCGACAGCGGGAGGCGGAGCGAAAGCGGGAGGCGAACGAAAGCGGGAGGCGAACGAAAGCGGGATCGGGAGGCGAACAGGAAAGTGGGAGGCGAGCCAAAGCGAGGGGCAAACACGACAGCACGAGGCGAGCGAAAGCGGGAGGCGAACGAAAGCGGGACTCGAGCAAAAGCGGGAGGCCAGCGACAGCGGAAACGAGCACGAAAGAGGGAGACAAGCGAAAACGGGAGACGAACACGTAAGCGGAAGCAAGCGAAAGCGGGAGGCGAGCGAAAACGGGAGTTGAGCTCGAAAAAGGGAGGCGATCGAAAGCGGGAGGCGAACACGAAAGTGGGAGGCGAGCGAAAGCGGGAAGCGAACACGCAAGTGGGAGGCGAGCGAAAACGGAAGGCGAGCGAAAGCGGGAGGCGAACGCAAGCGGGTGGGGAACGAAAGCTACGGGCGAGTGACTGACAGCGGGTGGCGAGCTAAAGCGGAAGGCGGACGAAAGCGGGACGCGAGAGAAAGCGGGAGGCGAACACGAAAGCGGGCCAACCCGAGCTCCCTGAGAAGGCCAAGGCGCGCCAACGGGCTGTCCGGGAGAGGCAAGCCGAGAGCCCGACCAAGAGCAGAGCTCCAGGGCTGGCGCCCATCAGGGAGTGCTTCGACTGACCTCGGCATCGAATGCTTGCGCATACCAAACATCATTTCTTTGGGGGCCTAGAAATGGGCACCAACACCAACACAGGGAGTTGCCTCCACACGGGGAAGATGATCCTAGATTTCGGTGTTGGTGGCAATAGTTCGGTCACCTTGGAAGCCAGCATATTACCACCATCACCGAGATCGGGATCTTCTTCCCTCGGTGGAGGCACACCGCCGATATTGGTGTTGGTGTCAACCTCTAGGCCTGCGATTTCTTTCCATTGAGGCCCACGCGGGTGGTGGTCCCCCTTCCCCTGCACCGGGCTGCATGGCTGCAGGCGTGCCACGACGGCAATGCCCGGTGCCCGCTGGGGGCACTTGCAGGTCGCAGGCGCGGCCCCGGGACAAATGTGAAGAGGCGTTCGGGCGGGAGAGGGAACCGCTCGCACACCCGAGTGAGAGGAACCCAGGAGAAGGAGGAGCCAGGGAAAGAGGAGCAGGAGGAGGAGGAGGAGGAGGAGGAGGAGGAGAAGGAGGAGGGAGGAGGAGGAGGAGGAGGAGGAGGGGGAGGGAGAGGAAGAGGAAGAGGAGGAGGAGGAGGAGGAGGAGGAGGAGGAGGAGGAGGAGGAGGAGGAGGAGGAGGAGGAGGGGGACGAGGAGAAGGAGGAGGAGGAGGAGGAGGAGGAGGAGGAGGAGACTCTCGTCCACAGTCAGCGGCGCTGGCGCGCCGACTGCGCGGCCCCCGGTCGCGACAGGAGGAGGCGCAGCGTTCCTCCAACGTCCACGCGTCCCTGCATCTCTTCGCTGCTGGCCTGGATGGATGCGCTGCGCAGGAGGGCGGCACCGAGGAGCTCCTGCTGCCGGCGCCCGAGAGACTGCGGCGGCAGGGGGGGCGGGAGAGGAGGAGCAGAAGGGGCGCGCGGCGGCCGCGGGGACTCCTCTGCCACTCCAGCTCTGCCTGCCGGCGGGCCTCGTCCTCGGCGGCGCGCCGGGCTTCCTCGATTGCCTTCGCGAGGGGGGGGGGGGGGCGGACGGCTCGGGTCGGGCGGGAGCGTGAGATGCAGTGGTAGCGGGCTAGCTCAAGGGGGGGAGAGCCTCGAGTTGGAAGATACATCGCCGATAGATCTGCGATGGGCCCTCGGTGGCAAAGTCGAGCGTTCCCGAGCGGGATGGGCTGCCAGGCCCCGATCGGCGATGAGTGGGCTATCAGACCCCTATTGGCGAGGAGTGGGCGATTTGGAGGGAGGGCTCGGGTCGGGTGAAAAGGGAGACAACAAACGAGGGGGTCAGCGGTTCCTCTGTGCTCGCTCATCGCTCCTAGCTCCTCGCCACTCGCTCCTCCTCCTCCTCCTCCTCCTCCTCCACCTCCTCCTCCTCCTCCTCATCCTCTTCCTCCTCCTCCTTCTCCTCCTCCTCCTCCTCCTCCTCCTCCTCTTCCTCCTCCTCCTCGTTATCAGCCTCCTGATCCTCCTGCTGCTGCTCTTCCTCCTCCTCCTCCTCCTCCTCCTCCTCCTCCTCCTCGTCCTTGCTCATCGCTTTTCGCTCACCACTCCTCCGCCATCTGTTCCTGTTTCTCCTCTTCCTTGGCCGCCTCCCGCTCCTCGCAGCTCGCTCCACGTTCCTCCATACTCGCTCCTCGCTCCTCGTCCTCCTCCACCTCCTCGTCCTCCTCCTCCTCCTCCTCCTCCTCCTCCTCGCTCTCTCTCCTTCTCCACCTCCTGATCCTCCTCGTCGTCCTTCTCCTCCGCATCCTCCTCCCCATGATCCTCGTGATCCTCCTGCCCCCCCTCTCGCTCGTCGATCCTTCGCTCCTCTCTCCTCGCCACTCGCACCTCGCTCCTCGCTCCTGCTCCTCCTCTTTCTCCTCCTCCTCCTCCTCCTCCTCCTCCTCCTCCTCCTCCTCCCGCGCCTCCTCGCTCCTTGCGCGTCGCTTCTCGCTCTTGACTTCTCGCTCCTCGATCCTCGCTCTTTCCCATCCTCCTCCTCCTCCTCCTCCTCCTCCTCCTCCTCCTCTTCGTCGCTTCCCCTCGCAACACCCCTCCTCCTCCTCCTCCTCCTCCCTTTCTTCTTCTCCGCATGTCCTCCTCCCTCCACTCACGCCTCCTCCTCCCCATCCTCCTCGAGCTTCCTCCTCCTCCTCATCCTCCTTCCACTCCTCCTCCTCCTCCTCCTCCTCCTCCTCCTCCTCCTCCTCCTCCTCGTTCTTCCTTTTCATCCTTCTCCTCCTGCTCTTCCTCGCTTCTTCTCTTTCTCCACATCCTGCTACTCCTCGTCCACCTCCTCCGCATCGTCCTCCCCATGATTCTCGTGAACTCCCTCCCCCCTCTCGCTCGTCGATCCTTCGCTCCTCTCTCCACCCTCATCGCACCTCACTCCTCGCTCGCTCAACGCTCCTCCTCCTCCTCCTGCTCCTCCTCCTCCTCCGCATCCTTCTCCCCGCCTCCTCGCTCCTTGCGCCTCGCTTCTTACTCTTGACTCCTCGCTGCTCGATCCGCACTCTTTCCCATCCTCCTCCTTCTCCTCCTCCTCTTCCTCCGCATCCTCCTCGCTCCTCCTCCTCCTTCTCCTCGTAGCTTCCATTCGCAACCCTCCTCCGCCTCCTCCTCCTCCTCCTCCTCCTCCTCCTCCTCCTCCTCCTCCCCCTCCTCCACAGTTACACAATCTGAATACTACTCCCCTCTCTCCCCTGGTGGCGTCTGGGGAATGTCTGGCCCCCCTCCGCGTAGTAGTTTTCTACACATAGGATTCCCGGGAGTTGGGCTTTCGCTTGGGTTGTTTGTTCAACATGCTGCTCTCGCTGAAGCGCTGGCTTCATTTTCGAGCTACCGCTCGTTCCGAATCGTACTCCTGCTGCGGCGCTGGCCGCATTTCCGCGCTTCAGCTCGTTCCGAATCGTTCTCCCGCTGCAGCGGTGGCGACATTATTTCCAGCGCCATGCCCCGGCATGGTTTTTGGTCCTTCCAAATAGGCGCCGAAATTTAAGAAATGCACCGCCCGAGAAAATATTGGAAGTGATTGCGCATTCTGTATCGATTCGTTGATTTTTTGGGCCGCAGAGGCCCCCCCCACTTCGGGGCGTCGCCACGCCATGCTATGTCAGGCTGCGCGTCCTCATTTCCGCGCTTCCGCGCTTTCTGGATTTATTCAAAATGCTGCTCTCGCTGAAGCGCTGGCCTCATTTTCGGGCTACCGCTCATTCCGAATTGTGCTCCCGCTGCAACGCTGGCCGCATTTCCGCGCTTCCGCTCGTTCCGAACCGTGCTCCCGCTGCAGCGCTGGCGTCAATATTTCGAGCGCCATGCCCCGGTATGGCTTTCGGTCCCTCCAAATCGGCCCCGAACTCTAGAAAATGGTCTCCCGAAGAAACCATCGGAAGTGATTACACATTCGGTGTCGGTTCGTTGTTTTTGGTGGCCGCATAAGCCCCCCCCTCCCACCTTGGGGCGTCGCCACGCCATGCTATGTCATGCTACGCATTGATATTCGATTGTGCAAATAGAAAGGAGATCTACGCCATGGTAAGGAATGGGAGGGAGGAGTGGAACGTTAGATGCGACGCGAGCGCACCTAGCTTGTCCTCCCCCCTCCCCCGCCCCTTCCTCCTCCTCCTCCTCCTCCTCCTCCTTCTCCTCCTCCTCCTCCTCCTCCCCCTTCTTCGTCTTCGTCTTCTTCTTTTTCTCAATAGTATTAGTATCAGTCTTCTTATTACTTGCTAATCATATTAGTTGTATTCCTCTTCGTACTGTCCTCCTCCTCCTCCCCCTCCTCCTCCTCCTCCTCCTCCTCCTCCTCCTCCTCCAGCCGCCGCTCGGGCGCAAGGTGCGCGAGGGGCGGCAGCGGCGCGGCGGCCCCTGTGACCTGCCGCGGCGCCACGCGGGAGACGCGATGGCGCGGCCCGTGGGCCCATGGGCGTTGCGAGCACTACAACCCGCGTCGAAATTGAACGCAAGTTTTTCCCACCCCCGTCGCCCCCAAATTTCAATGTTCATCGACAGGCTCATCGCGGCCGCCGGGGTCCGAAGAAAATCTCGAAGTCGCCGGCGTCGGCGTGAACATTGAAATGGCGTCGGCGTGAACATTGAAATTGGGGGTCGGGGGGCGCCGCCAGGTCGCGGCTAAAACTTGCGTTCAATTTCGACGAAGGATGTAGGCTTCGACCCGATGTTCGCGACGGGCCCGAGGCTGCAGGAGATAGCCATGAGCTGCAGCAGCATGGATCTGGTGCTGCTCCCACAGGGGGGCGGGCTCCCTCGAGGCGCTCGGAGGAGGTCCTGTCTCGCAGAACTGGGAAGCGGATTGTTCTTGAGGCGGGGGCAGGCTATGCAAAATCTGCTCACAAGTCAACGGGCTGCGCGATAATTCTCGGAAGTGAGTTCAAAGAGCAGCATGTGTGCCAGACATGGGTGAGCCCGAAGGGTGCAGAGGACAGAGCGTTGACCGTTCGTATCAAGAAAGGGCCAATTGACCTTGCCCCGATCGTGATGTATCTACCGCCTCAGCCTCGGCATGTCCGCTTGGTCCCTCACTACAAGGAGACGGTGCAGATTGTGGCGACATGGTATGAACGCAATTTGCAGAGACTGCCTTGCCGCTGCACGCCGCTGGTCTAGGTGGATCTCAATGATCGACAGGGATTGTGCCGAGTGGCAGGGCAGGGGGGTTCAGTAGAGTCGACGGCTTTGGGACCAGGCAGAGCACGTGAGCAACGACGAGGGGGTGCTGGAGAGATTTTCAGACATGTGGGCGAGCGACAGCATATGTTCCCAGTTAATTCTGGGCGCCAGAACTTGGAGCACACTGGGCATAGCAACTATAAAGATCTAAGATTCGTCCAAGATGGAATGATTGATATATGATACACAAGTTTTCTCCACTTCACGGACAAGGGGCTGAATTATAAGCTTTCCGAGGGGCCCCGCCGAAGGATCAAATTCCCGTCTACATGGAGTGGCATGGCATGCAACTCGCGGACGACCACGAGTCTCCGTCGCCACAGCGGTTGCGATGGAATCATGATGATCTAATGAGATGATTGAGAAAAAGGTGAGCGGAAAATTCACTTCTTAGAAGCGGTGGAGACACGTCTGCCAGAGAATAATCTCACTTGGACGGCGCTGTTGAATCACGGGCGGCCAGGTGTTTTGTCCAAACATTTAGATGATACGCTTGCTGCAAGTCAACAACTATTCGGCCACCAAGTGTCCAACGATCCAGCGTACAAGCAAGAGGCAACAAAGCGTCCCGTACTCCTGCGAGAGCGAGCTCGACTTCGACGTCCCTGTCTCGTCTCGGCATGTGCGAGACTTCTGCGGCACTTCGCGTCTGTGAGGAGAAGCTGAAGGAACTCAGCCAGCGACTGCGACGACAGCGACAACAGTTTCAACGAAACGGCGGGCCACCCTACTGGACGAGATCGAGGAGGCGTGGCAGGCCCGACGTGTGGCGGAGGCGATGCGGCTTTCCAAGATAGCAGCTCGGTGCAGGTACGGACCCAAACGACGTGACGGGAGATTGCTTCGGGGTGGCCACTTCTGGGAGCAGGAGCTGCTGGAACACTGGAGCCAGAAGGGTCGCCAGGGAGGGATGTCAGCATGCAAGATCGACTTTGGCGAATGGATGGGGGCCGCCCCTGCAGGGGACCCCCCCTACGTTGCCCTGGAGGGCTGCGAATTGGCTCAGAAAGATCAGTGGAGAGTGACTAAGTATTTCCGGTCGGCGAGTAAGAGGAGAGTGGTGCCGTCAGGGACTCCGCCCGCTGAGATCTGGTTGTTGTGCCTCGACCTCGTCGCGACCACCGATAGCAAAGGCATGGGCGTAGGTTACCAGCGCGAGGTTCCTGAGATGAAGCTGCTTGGGCAGGTTCTGGAGGGAGGAAATCGCAACATTCGTGCAACTAATCGTACTGTACACCGATGCGATGTCACGTGAGTTCGGGGGCCCAACTTCGAAACAACTCCAAGCCAGGCCCAATAGGCCGCCGAACGGTGCAAGTCTTGCCGACCTTGG